AGGATGTGTCCAGACTGCTTGTCTAGGTGTTTGCTTGGCCATTTGTCAATAATTCAAGCTACCAAAACAGCTTTATAACCAAGGCAGAAAGTTTGTTTGGAGCTTTCAGGATCATTTCCAGCTGCACTGATCTTTAGTCTTTGGACAAACACAGCAGATGTTTACCACAGCAGAAGGCTGCGTCTGCTTATGCAGTTCTGTCTCACCTGAAGAAAAGCACTGGAGTGCAGAAGAGGGTGTGGATGATAAAGGTGGCTGCTAGTTGTGAAAAAGGCTCCATAGTTAACAGCAGTTTCAGCCTTTCTTTTTCCTCTCCATCTACCTAGGATGCCAGCTCAGCAAGGATCTCTTCGGCGCCTCGGAGAGCTGCAGTGCAGCACTGCGTGTATTTGACAAGCTGAGTTTGACACTCAGTGTGGCAGAGTGTCAGTTTGTCAAATACCCCAAGTGAGGCATTTGCTTAGCAGCACCATGCGGCACCAAGGACACCGGCCCCTTCCTCCAGCTCGGTGGGAAACTTCCTGTCCTTAATCTTCCCAAAGAGGTATTGAACAAACCAGATACCATTACCGAATGCTTGGCTCTGACTCCCATGCTGTCAGGTTTCCCTTCCAGCCCAGTTTTGGAAATGCCTGTTGGGATACTCATCTTATTGACACATCTCTACAAAATTGGTGCTGGAACAATTCCACTGTGAGAGGAAAGCAGAGAATTTGACATAGATTCCTTATTCTCTGCAATCAAAGACAGTGCTCTTCTCTTTTGCAATATTAAGTAGCAGGATACTAATTAAGCTCCCATTCAAGTAAAAGTTATGGCTATTATGGCTGGCTATTCCTAGTCAGTCTTTGCTGCAAGGTTGCCTATTGCTTTTGCTAAGTTTCCAATATTTTATTAAAAGAATTCCCTGTAAATCATACAAGCTGAATATCCAGTTATTGCTTAACATTTTCTATGACTGAGTTGTGGCATTCACATTCAGTTTGTGATATCTCATGCTGGGAGAATGTCACAGGGTAAGTGCTCAGCCCCATTTGCCAAGTTGAACTCCCTGGAGATCTTTAAGATTGAAAACTCAGAATCTAAAAGAAAATCCCAAGATGCTACTGACCTGCTTCAGGCCAGCAAATTTTGCAACATTTGAGAATATTAATAAATATTATGTTCTTGTTTTGTTTTCTTGCCACTATTTCTTGCTAAATATTTTGAAGAAGTTGGGATTTGCACAAAGCTGTGACCAAGGAACGTTTCGCGTTGCCTAAGCAGATTGTGTTCTGCTTTCTAAGTCATATCAGCAGGGCTTGTTGTGCGCTTCTGGACAAACCCCATCCTGCTCGTTATGACTCACACTCCCGTGGTCTCTCTCCAGCACCTACTCATGACTCAGAGACATTACCCTGATCCGTATCACTGAGGTCAGCTTCACAAGAGAACAAAGTCTATGATTTCAGGGATCGTTTTGTCCCCAAAGGATCCTTAATGTAGCAGGCAGCTGTGTCAACCCAAGCCCTTTCTACCATCACTGTCCCCACAGTTCAACAGACCTGAATTCTTGCAGCACAGCTGACTGGCTGTTCATTTTAAGCTCTACAGAAAAGGTAAAATCATTGAAACTGTAAGAAAATAGTCTTGGTGTTTGCCCTTCTCCCTTTTTTTTCTGACTTTTCTCTAGGTAGTCTCCAACTCCTCCAAGACTGGGGAGTGGGGAATAAAGAAACAAAGGGAAAGAAATTTAATTCCATCCTCTCCTGCAACAACAAACATCAGCTTATAGTGGGGCGGATTTTTCTCTGGGACTTCCTCTCCTTTCTCTGGGTTAAGAGCAACCATTTCAGACCGACTTGGAAAGTCTGGGAAACCCGACAATTTAAAGGCCAATACGTCCCCTCAAAGTACAAACCTTGCGCTCCCACCCTGCTTTGAAGCAGGGGGAGTCGCAAGTCTCTGACCCTGTACTGGTCACCGTGGAACCACATTTACCCGGAGGCTGGGTAGTTTGGGAGTGGAAGCGGAGGTTTCCCTTCGTGCGCTGGTGCAGAGCTGCTGCAACAGGCGAGTGACCAGTGCAAGGGAAGGAGAAGTTTTCTCACTTGATGGAGACACAGCACAGCAAAGCCCCCTTTAGTCGCACTGTCTTTTCCATCAGAACAGCCAATGGAGCTTCTTCCTGCAGGAGCTTCCCTCCCCAGACCTCAGGGTTCCCCAAAAAGCCACCTGGAGCTCCTCAGAGCACACCAGTGCTCAGAGGAATTAAAAGCAGGAAAAATCACGGTCTTGCACAGTGGGTGTGGGAACTCAGTTGGGAGCTTATAATGGTAGCAATGGGCTAATTGTAAACAACAATGCGCAGGGGACTTGGAAAGAAAAAAAGGGATATCCCGTCCTGCCGGCTGGGACTGCATATACTATGAGGAGGGATGGGGAAGTGGAGAGGCTTTGGTTCCTCCCTAGCACAGCTGCAGGCTTGTGCACGCACTGCAGCCTCGCGCCGTCACACAGCGGCTGTCCACGCACGCGCCGCTCCAGTCCCGTGGCGGGAGTAGCACCAAGGCTGCTGGAGCCTCCGGGCAGCCTCCGGGAAGAGGCCTGGCCGCCCAGGCACCAGCGCCCGCTGCTGTGCGGGGATGAGCTACTGTGTCCCTCGCACCACTCCCTAATGGTCTCAGCACGTGCTGCTGCAGGGCAAGACAACGGAAACGTGCCAGGAGAGCAGCGCTTGAAGCAGGTCTGGCACAACCAAGGCAAGGAGAGTCGGGTCCCCCTGCGCCCCGGCGAGCGCAGCCCCCAGCACTGCCGCACACCGTCCTGTGCGTCAGGAAACACAGCACATAGTGCCCGTACTGAGGAGGAAGACTGATCCATAATCTACTCACATGTAAAGGAGCAGCATGGCTGTAATCCAGGGCGCTAAAGGTGAGTGTTTCGCGTTGCTCTTCCAAGCGCTCAGGCCACGAGAAGCGACTTGCAGCTCTACTGCCTGCCCAAGGAGGGATGACCCGGGCACTGCTGGCCTTGCCAGGCTGGTAGGAGTCCCTGAAGGAGGTTTATATGGCCCAGATCTATTCTGATGCCTCAACCCCAACTGTTTTGACTGATCTAATAAAAAATAGTGACTCTGCCTGTAACTGTGGTTTGCTAAGGCAGGACTGGCCGACCGTTCACCAAGCAGTTGCACCTCGAGTCCACCAGGGACATGGAGCCGCGCAGGCCTGGCCGGAGGCGGGGAAGGGCCTGGGCAGAGGCCGGGCAGCAGCTCCTCGCGAGCAGCTTCACAAGGCCGCGAACCAGCGCTTTGGAGCCAGGTTCCTGCAGGAACCGCCACGCGGGGGCAAGGACAGGGCCCCGGAGTTACCCCCACTGAGAGGGAAGGGCAGAGGCGGGAGCGCCCGGGTGCCTCCAAGCAGGGCGGCAGCCGGCATGGCCGCGGCAGCCCCCGCGGTGCCAGCTCGGCGCTCCAGGCCCTGGGGCTCCACCGCTAACTGAACACGCAGGTTCTGCACTACGGAACAGGCTTCCCAGCGGCAGGAAGGGCCTGGACGGGGAGAGCGTGAGTGCTCAGGACACTCCTAGGCTCTTTTTCTGCAGTGCTTTAGGAGGGCCTTTGGTTTCCTGGTCAGCAGATGGTGCTAGAGGAAAACCGGAGTCAGGAGTCGGGGTGCGAGGCTGGTGCGGGCAGCGCAGCGGCGCCTCCCCGCGCCCCTCGTGCAGGCCTCGTGCCGGGGCTGCCCGCGGCTGGGCAAGGGGCGAGCTGCCGCTCCTCCGCATTGCTCCCTCCGGCTTTCCTTTTACTCGGTGGATGTGACAATAAATAGGGATGCAGAGACGTTTTAAAATAACTGCTTTTCAGTGCAGACCAACATACTGATGTGAATGTGTAATGGTGTGAACTGAGCTCCACAGGCAAAGCTTTCATATCATTTAAATGACCTGTCTTCTCCAGCTCCTACCCCAGCCTTTGGGGCAGTGATGGAGACAACAGCACTGCAGCATCCTCCAAGGCCACAGACAGTGACTTAGCATCTATCACCCTCCTGCAAAACCAGGCCTAGCTGAGGTCTGCAACCCTCAACCACCTGTGCCCAGCTTGGTCACTGATGCGCCTCACCAGCTCACCGAGATCAGATTTTCCACTGACTTCAGGCCTTTGGTCTATCACATTCATTTTTCCTTATATTGCTGTGCTGCCACATAGGGGAAGGTGTCTGCAGGTTGGTGAAAATGTGCAAGTGGAAGCAGCACCATGACCCTGAAACGCAGCCTTGTAGGGGCTGATGTAAGCTGCAGTCACTAGAGGAGCTTTTTATGGGCTGGTGTGTGGGCTTTGTGGCCACATGTCCTCTCCCCTTTGGAAGACAAGCACAAGTCAAACTCCCAAGGCAAGTTATGGCCATGACTGAAGTCCTAGCTGTTCCACAGTGCTAGCTGTTCCACAGAGAAAACACTGATTTGTAGACAAAAGCAATATGAAGGCAGTGGCTGGTGAAACAGTGAGAAAGTCAGAATGGGTATGCAGTCTGCTCCTTTGAAGTCTTTTGTATTTGCCCCACGAAAGAAAATACTTTGCACTAATCAAGCACTTTTCAAGACATTTTACAAACATGAAAGCTCACAGCACCCCCATGACACAGGGCCATATTCGTATTTCCTTGTTGCATCATGTTCCTCACCGTGAGCTGGCACCAATCAGCGTTGAGTCTAGTGAAGTCCCTTGCTCAATCACTGCACCAAATACCTTTATTTTCCCTCTAAGCAATCATCAAGAACACCAATATTCTGCTATACTTTTATGCTGCGATGCTTCCGGTCCTGCACTATAAAACAAAACTCTAACCTTTCTTTCAGCATCTACTTTTCCATGAGAAGAACAGCCAGTGGGGGGTTAGAAGAATCATCAACTCTGGGCCATTCTGTCTTCCTTTAAGCAATTTATTGCAGTCCGATTGGAAAAAATGACATTCTTAGGACATCAACCCACTCTATAGTTGCTTGACCATCCTCAAATGAAAAGACTTAAGGGCAAACAAGCTGTGCCACCAGTATTTGTTGTAGTACAAGTTGTAGACACTATGTAACATTCCACCCCGGGCACAGTTCCTGGTTCCCTGCAGTCTGATTCCCAACAGGAGAACACGTTTGAGAATACACCCTGTGGCTTCACTGGCCAGCAGTGCTGCAGCCAGCTACACCTAGACCTGCAGGCTAAAAGCTTTAGTGTTTCTGCTCCTCCAGTCCCTTCTTCCTCACCTTTGTCCTCCAGGCTGCTCCTAAATTTATAGCGCCATAACTGTAGATAGAGAGCCACTTGGCTGAGAGTTTCTGCACTGAGGGGCAGGACCTTAACTGTCCGAGCCCAAGAGTATGCAGTTCCCCAGGTTAAATAAAGCAACAAGACTGGAATATTTATCAGCATTGTAGGCAGGCAGGAAAAATAGTTTCCTTTGGTAGAATTCACCACTCAAGATCTGTAGCTCCGTCTTCTGCACAACTGCTCACGTGGAAATGCTGCAGATGGTCTGCTAGAAAATTTCTACTCATATTCTGATTCCATAGCCTTCACAAGGGTCTCACATTCAGTGTTTTTCCCAGTGCATATGTTGCTGTAGTCATTGCTTTTCATGGTGATAGTTTCGTATGATGCTTCAGTCCTAGAATTTACATCTTCCTGGTCCTTAGCAGTCTCTGTTCTCGTGCCATCTGCAGTGCTATGGCTGAAACAACAGAGAGAGATTAATGAGGAGGAACAAATCAGAAGCATTTGATCTAGACTCTGACCACAGCACAGCAAAATTTACACTCATCTACTAAGAGTCTAGAGGGCTCTGGAAGACTCTAGGGAGCAATACTGAAAGAACCACACACACAAAAGGAGAACATAAACAACACCAGTATCATAGTTGCTGGTGGCATCATCACGTGGGTATTCAGCAGACTTTCCAAACGTCGGACTATCACCTCATAGGGCAGCCTTTGCAAAATAACTATTAATTGCTAAAGCAGCAATTGTGGGGCCACAGATGTGTAAGGTATATCTCTGGAGGGAAAAGTAGGATGAACGGATTAAGGGCTGCGATTAAGAGGGACAGGAAATATGTTGCTATCAGTAGAAGCAAACAGGAATTGCACAAAATATTTGGATAACCACTAGGGAGTGTTTCTTAAGAAAAAGGCATGTACAGGGAGAATTTATCGTGAGAGAAGAAGTGAGGACACATGTTCTCCACTTTGTGGAAAAACACTGGAAATTTACTACAGACAAGAGCTGAGCTGTGGCACTGGCAACACAGAGCAAGGGGCCCAAAACACCGTTCTGTCATTCTAGCACCCTTAGGACGAGATCCTCTCCGTCTTCTGCGCTGACACATTAATGCCCTCACGTGGTATCGAAAGCTCTGTGAGGGGATTCAGATCTCCCCTCTCCCCAGAAATTTGGGAATTTTTGTTCAGTGAGAAAAGAGGCGTTTCTGAAACAGATGCCGGTACTGAGTCCCTCAAAATCTTCTCAGCATCAGAGGAAGAATCGTACTCACAAAGCAACTTCATAGAGAGGTTCTGGAAAGAAAAGGGAGAATCAAAGATGTACCTCAGTGAGTTTAAGGCTAACCTGACAAACAAAAAACTCAGCTGCTCCCAAGCATCCCCCGGCTCAGGATGTCACTGTCCTGCCTTGCCTCTCCCCAATGGCCACTTCCCGTCAGCACAGAGACATTCCAGAGCATCCCGAGAAAAACAGGCAGTGCTGTGCAGAGCTCTGTAGGCCACGGGCCGGTGCGGTTCCCAGCTCCACGGAGGTGGAGGCAGCGATGGGCGGCGGCTGCCAGGGCGGTCCTGGCAGAGGGTCCGCCGAGCAAGCTGCAGCCCGGCCTTGGGCCCGCACGCAGAGCGGCCGGCGCGGAGCAGCACGGTCAAGGCGGCGCCCGCCCGGACGCTCGGTGCCAGCCCTGGTGCCACCCGCCACCACCCGCCCGGGCATGCGCCGCTCTCACCGTCCTGCGCCATTGCCTTCCGTCGACAGGCGATGGCCATAGCGATGGAGACGAGCGCGACCCCACAGAGTCCGGCCAGCAGGAAGACGACGTAGAGCGGCAGGTGGCGGCGCTGCAGCCCTGGGGACAGAGCGGCCCTAGTCAGAGCGGGGCCAGTCCTGCCCGCAGCTGGGCCCGGGGCTGCTCCCTGGCCCGCAGGGCTGGCAGAGCCTGCATGGGTGTCGTGGCAGTCGCCGCCACGCATGGCCCTGGGGTGCCACACTAAGGCGAGTGCGATGGGCAAGCATGGCGCAGTTTGCAGGTGGAGCACGTCCTGCCAGGCCGTGCGGGGCTGCCCAACACTTGCAGCAAATGCTCATTCTGTTTTAAAACCCAACAGAAGCCCCAGCTGCAGCACAGACCTACAGGAACTGTGATTGCCGTGCCTGAGCTTAAGGGCAAAACCTTCAGCCCCTTCAGGACAGAAACATGGAGCAAACTTAAAGCAATAAAGAAGATGCAGAAGACCTGTGACAAGGAGGGGAGTTTCTGCATAGGGAAAAGCTGATATTTGATGGGAATTTGTCCCTGAAACAAAACCTGCTGCAAGACGCAGCTGCCGGGACCCCTGCTTGGCCAGCCCTTGCTGGGGTTGACCTCGCACTTCCCTGCCGGGCCTCTGCTCAGCGCCGTGAAGGCCTCTGCTCACCTGTGGCAACGGAGGCTCCCGCCGAGCTGGTGTCCTGTGCGGGGGTGGGCTGCGTCGTAGCTACCAGATCTGTGGAGGGGAGAGCAGGGTGACGCCTCGCGCCCCACGCAAACGGGTGGCCCAGGCGCCAGGCAGGACCTCAGGCTGGGCTGCCCACAGGAGCGCTGCCCAGGCTGCCCATGGGAGCACTGTCTGGGCCAGTGGGGCCGAGCTCTCGCACACGGGGTGTGCGCGGGGCACCCGCCTGTCCCGGCGGCGACGCCCTGTCCCACGCCTGCTTCTCCCAACCCCATGGCCAGCCCTGCTTGGAAGCAGGGAGGACACCAGACCCTGCAGTTTCCTCTCTGAGTGGCACTAAAATCATGACTCACAATCAGCACAAAGATCCACGTACAGGAAGAGGAAACCTTTTGCCTTGGTTGTCATCCACAGAGGAGATGACGAGTTCCCACCGGGACACTCACCTCTCACGGCGAGCTCCACGGCATCACTCTGCTGGGTGACCAGCACCCCAATGTAGTTCTCTGCCTCGCAGTAATACTTCCCCGAGTGCGAGGGCTGCAGCCTGTCGAACGTGAGCTCGGCGCTGCTGCCCAGGCGCCGGGCTGCTCCTCCCGGCTCCCCCTGGAACCAGCGGTAGCTGATGGGGGGGGAGCCGCCGGCCACACACGTCAGGCTGGTCCTGGTTCCTGCCGGGAGTGTCAGGCCCCACTCCCCAGCCCTGACCACGGGCTTCGTCACCGCAACTGCAAGACAAGCGCGCGGGGCCCAGCTCACAGTGGCCCGGCCAGGAGCCTCCCCGTGCTGCGCGGCAGTCGGCTTGCTGGCCCCAAGCCCCTTCCGCAGGGACAGGGCCCCCGACGTGCCAGTCACCCCTGCGCGCAGCCCAAGCCCTGGCCTCCTCTCCTTACACCAGCCAGGCCACACGTGGCCCTGCGTTCACAGGCCTGCTCAGCCGCAGTGCCCTCTGCCCCACCACGTGCCACCTTGCACGGAGGGCACTTGTAGCATCCACCAAGGCTCTGGGGAAGGGGAGGAGGCACCTCCGGCCCACACTACACCCACCTCACTTCCTGCTTGCTCCAGGAACCATAGAGACACTGGTTATGTGGACCAAAGACAACTGTGAGTGCTGTCTCCAGCAGCAGGTTCAAGCGACCCCGGAGAGATGCAGATTTGGATCTGAACTCACTGCTCCCCCTTGCCCAGTCCTGAGGTGCATTACTTACTCCTCGGAGAAGAGGGGCTGGCAGCAAGGGAGAGGCCGATGCTCTCCTGCGGAGATGCCCCACACCCGGTTCGGATGAGGGTAGATAGCGCGCTCCAGAAAACTCTGCTTGGGCTACGCGCTTCCTAGAGGCAGCCTCTTGTGCTACTGGATTTGTGAATTATTAAGGCTGTTCAAGAGCAGGGCTTTATTGCTCTATTTACCTTTCACTACTTTAACTGTAGTGGCCATCTCCTTTGTTAGCAAGTTGTTATTTTTGGAGCTCCACGTGACTTGACAAGTGTAGTGTCCACTGTCAGGGATTTCGAGGTTCTTGATTTGCAGTGTGACATCCCCTGGTCTGTTCTTTGGGACAGTGACACGGTCTCTGAACCGAGACAACAAGACATGGTCACCAGAGTCATCCCTGCGGAAGATGGTGGAGGTGCTGTAGTCTCGGGTCACACTCCAGACGAGTGTGTGCTGTGTGAAACCTTCTGAGGGTATGTAGGTACAAGGTAAAGTGGTGGATCCCTTCCATGTCCCATTGACCTGGTGGAGGCCAGACAGGTCCAGGAGGGCTGCAGGGAACAATAGTTGAAGAGAAATAAGAACGTTGCAAAAGAGAAAGTGTCCTCGGGAAAGGCAGGAATCACCTGCAGGTGGAAGTCAGCATGAAGGACTATGTTAAATGTGGTGCAGACCATGGCCAGCTAAACCTGGGCCTGTCTGTGTCCCACTGAGCACAGGGATGCGAACGGCTGCTCCAACCCCAGGGATGTTTTTACTGATTCTCTCTGGATCCCTACCAGTTTGTAATTCCTTCTTGGCACAAATCCTGCTCCTGGTGGCAGCATCACAGCCGTAGTGTTCACGAGATCTCAAAATGCACCTCTAACCCCTGCTCTCCAGCCTGCGTGTTCTGTTTCTGCTTGCAGCTGCTGAGTCAAACAACAGTGGACTTCCTCCCACCCCCAAAGATGCTGTCTGCTCTGATGACACCTCTGTAATATTTGTTCTGTTCCTTACACTGGGGAGGAAGAATGAATAGGTCAATTTCATTGTTTTACTGCAATTAAGCATATTTGTTAGGTCCAGCATTTGCACTGATAAAGGTCACTAACTTCTTTTGTAACTTCCCTGTTCACAGGTCACAGCAGTACAGCTCCGCAGGCAGAAGCACTTCCCTGCAAGTGCTCGTCCTAGGGCCATCAGGAAGGACCGTGCAAGGGGAAGTGAGGAACCGCACGCCTCTGTGCAGGACAGTCTGGTGCACTGCCGGGGCTGGACGCAGAGGCCCCGACACCGAGCTGACACCGAGCTCTCATTTTAATTTATTAAATAGCTTTGAGAAGGCAGGCACAGAATCTCACATCTCTATCAAATGCAATTCTCTGACAGATCCACTTTTGAAGGTTTTCCATTTCTCTTCTTTTCAGACTCCCATTCAGAACAATTAAGAAGGATGGAAGCTATTTAGAAAACTGCCCAGATAAACTCCCCAGGGATTTGGTTGAAGGCTCTCCCCTTAAACTGTGTTCAGCATCCAGTGTTCACCTGGACACAATTTTAGTTAAACATCTCACCAGTGCTGTTTTACACTGTTGTGTGCCATTGGATAGCTGCCAGGTCGGTGGCTCTGCACATAACTGACTGCAGCACTAGTGGGGCTGGCCCCAAAGGGGAGCTAATTGAGAGGAATAGAGAAATGCAGCAAAAGAGAAATCTCTGTCAGGGCATTTTTAAAGGAAATACTTCCTCCCAGGGCAACTTTTAAAATGGAATATAATCTTCGAAACAACATGGGTCCTCCCACCAGAGGCAGACAGAGCTGGACTGGATGAAATCTCAAGAGCTGCAGAGTATCCCAAGCAGGTCACAGGGAATTGTATTCTCTCTAACACATGATAACAGCCTACCATTTTAAACTGTAAAGTTTAAAGACACAAGAGCACAGACCTAAACCTCATCCTGGTGCTTTAGCCTCGGGGGACTTCAGACATAGCCGAGGTTTGTGGCTTCGTGTCGGCCCCAAGCAGATAAGCAAGTACCCCCCAAGCACTACCACCCACCCGGGAGAAGGGGGAGGCTAGGGAGCAGGTATTTTACAGCATCCAGCTCATTCTCATTTTTCCATCTGTCTGACCAGTGAGACCACAGTTCTTTAGAAAGTGCTCATCAAAGTGGCAATTTACCTGAATTTAGCCCGACTTGAAATGCACTGGTTTTATTAGCTGCCACGTTCGGGATCCTTGGAGAAGATCTGCTCTGGTACATCAGCTTCCAAAGCACTTTGTGCTCATGCTTCAGAGCAGATCCTCTCCAAGGATCCTCAACAATCCTGTTTTGCTCTTGCTCTGGGGGACATGGGACCTAATACTGTTCCACCCTCAAAAGCATGTCGCTGAATCCACAGCCAAAGGAGACTCCTATAGTTCCCACACTGTTTTTTCATGCAAGAAACTAGAGATTTTCCATACTTGACAATTTTTCAAAAATGAAAGCACTATAATTCCCCTGCCCTCTTAGTATTCAGATTTTTCTTTTTAATATGAGGAAACATTTACTCACCGCTGCAGCTGATGAAGGCCTTTGCAAACACCACTATCTGTAGAATTTTCTCCATTCTCTTGGAACTGCAGGTTCGTCCTCCCCCTCCCTCCACGTAGAGACCCACACTCCAGAGACCAGAACTCAAGTCAAGAACACTTCCTCTTCTTCTGTCCTATAACATCTAGGATCCAGGCTGTGCTGCTGCCCTTTTTCCTTCCTTCTTTCTGAAACATTACAAGTCCATTTCAAAGATTATAAGGATCTTTCTGCTTCCGTTTCATGTTCTCTCTTGGCCCAACCACTTCTCTTACAATTCTCTTGACTTTTTCCAATAAGTGCTCTCAGCACTTTTTTTATTCTCTTCATATTTGGGTGGTATATCCCCCCCCCCTTTCTTTCACTCCATGCTTGCAGACGTTTCATAATGGAAGAGCCTTTTTATGACTATGCAGTCAAGCACTTGGTATATGGAAAAGCAAACCTCAGGATGCTCAAGAAATACGAGCTCAGGTCTCTCAGTCGTGCGCAGTGACGTTGCTATTACTTACACAATTACGTACTGTTTTGCCATGTCCAGGACAGGTGGAATCAATTCACCAGCTGCGCTTCTAACGCTGCTTTACTTCACCCTGTCCTTCTCTGCGGTGCTAAGAGCAGGAGAACAAAGCACAGACCGACCCCGGTGGCTCCACTCCACTTCCTCCTGTGGCGCGCAGCTCTCCCACCGCACGTGCCCGTTTCTGCAGTGGGAGCTGGTGCCGACCCCTCTTTGCTCCGAGCAGCGCGCCCCTTTTCCCCCAGGGTCCGACTTGGGCAGCAACTTCTATGGCAACAGCAAGGTACATCCTCGGCAGCCCTGCCAAATCTGAAAGCATAAAAATGCTGCTTTTTTCTTCCAAGTTGCAATCTTTCTGATTTACTACTGATGTCTTAAAAAAAAAAAAAAAAAAAAAAAGGGGGGGGGGGACACAACACTGATATATTTCATTTACTTAAAAGTCAAATGTAGGCACAAAATACTATGTAACTACAGCAATTTACTGGTTACAAGCGCATTTGTATAAACCTTTCTGTTCTCATGTTCCCAGTAATGGCTGAGATAGTGTGACTAACTTTTTTTTTTGTTTAATTATTCAGGTAGAGATGAACTCTAATACAGGAGTTACCAGCTAAAATATCACCAACGTGACAACCAAAATTGATGAGATCAAGCTCATATAATAAGAAATATTAATCCTACGTAATAAGAAATTTCAGTACCTCCAGAGTAACTGGCAATTCAGAAAAAATGATTGATGCACTCCCAGAACTGAGACTGACACAACCTACAAGTCGGTGATTTTTGATACTTTTTTTTTTTTAAACCCAAAATTGTCTGGTATCTTTCATTCATTTCAAATTTAGAAAGCAACCTGAAGTAGTTTTCAGTTCATAAGAAATTCAGCGTTTTCTGATGGACCTGAGGGAAGGTTAATATTGCCACGGCTACATCCCAACACGGAGGTAATTGTTTGGTTTAGGTGGGCAGGGTTTATAGCAGCTAACGCTGCTTTCAGCAACGAGACTTCAACCAACCACTCGTACATTCTGGCCCTTGACTGGTGACAGAAGCGTGTCCTGAAAACTCACCTCCTATTCAAAGGGCTGTTAAAGAAGCTGGATGTTGGGAAAGCATGTCCCAGCACGAGCTCACAACCCAAGCTAAAACTGCTGACTAGACTATTTTCTGAACCGGACATGTAAGACTTCCTGACACGGTAATTATAGAGGATAAAAGCTGACTGCTTAGCTAAAACAAACATCACTAACTGTAGTTCCTCAAATGTGATTTACTTGACATCTTTCTTTCCTGGGGACAATGACATATCTCCCAGTTTTCTCCTCCCTGAGTCACAGTCTGCCCATTTCCTTCTTTCTAGAGGGGCTCCTCATAGTTTTGCATCTGAAAACATGAAAAAGAAGTCTCTAATGTCTCAGACATTACTCCTGTAGGATAAACAAGGGCCAGTTGGTTATGTAGTGATGGCAGCAGTGCCGAGATACCCATATCAAGCATTGCCACACTCCAGCTAAGAAATACGGTGCACGAGAGCAACGCGTTGGCTGACACAGGTCTCCATCCAGTCGCAAGGGCTCCCCAGCTTCCCCCATATCCTTCAGGGTCGACTAGCGTAAAACCCGCAACTTCTATCTCAAAATAAAGGAGGAAAAACAGCTCCCTCCCGAGATCTGACGGGGTCACGCTGCTCTGGAGAGTTGCCCAGGCTAGCCCAGCCCCGTACCTGAGTCCTGGAGCTGCGACCTCCTGGTCTCAAGGAGGTGGCACCTCCCTGCTCAGCTACTCCCTCCAAGCCTGTCAGTCAGTGCTGGAGTCCCTCTGCCGTCCTGGTGCTCCAGATATTGCTGGGCCCTAGACTCCCATTTCTGAGCTCCAGCGCACATGCAGGGCTGCTTTACAGTAACATTAATATTCTCCTTCCAGCAGGGCTCCAAAAAATGCCCCTCACTGAGGGCTGAAATGCAGAAAATGCAGCAGTTATCCAGAAAGCTCTGCTGACTTGTCATTGCCCAATCATGGCTTTTCCTGACCCCCTAGAAAACCTTCACAGCAGTAACTGTGCCTTGCAGTATGAGCACAATAGTGTTTCCTTCCTATTCACCTCCCTCCTTAGGGAAAGCAACAAACAAAAATCAAGCAAACCCACTTCAGTGTTTTTTTTTCCTTCTACGCAAGATGACTCATTTTCTATCACATGCTAAACATCTAATTTCACAAGCAGCTAATCTCACACTGCATGAGCTGAAATTCCTGTATCTTCTATTTCCTCAGCTATTGTTGGCTGCAGTCTGCAAGCATCACCTAATGAGCTCTCAGCACCAGGAGAGCATGTTCAAAACCCCAGCAAGTGCACAGCTCCTCTGCGGCCTCTTGTTACCAGGAGATGACAAGCAGCTAGGATCTGACTACCTACGTGCACATGGACATTCAGGCACACTCATGCTTCCAGGCAAAAATAAGAAGCTTATATATAACAAATAACAAAAATTTGCTAAATGCATAATCTTGATTTTAATCATTTTCATTTGCTTCGACATATAAGCTGTATACACCTGTTGATATTTCTTTTTCCAAAAAGGCATTATCACCAGTAAAAACAACTGCTTGTTCGTTCCCTTTTCACTTGAAAGTGAGGTTGCAGAGACCTGGATTTTTATCTGTACTATTAGCAAAGAGAAATGAAACCTGAGACACAGGAAGTTTAGAGAAAAAGGTATAAGAACACTTTCATGCACTGGCAAAATACCACCAAATTTTTGTGTTCAATAGTCACTGAAGAACTTTTATATCATTAATTCTTCTAATTACTCATGGACTATCCCTGCAGTTTGGATTTTCATACCAGTGCGTGAGCAATAATGTGTGGCACACTCAGTTAGGTATTGCACATCAACCATACCACTTATTTCCCCTCAGAACTGCTACTATCTGCGTCATTGCCCTATCAGCTCACCTGCTTTTTGTCTGCATTGCTTTTTATCTGACGTGGTATTGCTCTATAAGTTGTTATAAAAAGATTCTGCTGCACCTCTGCAGTTTATCTGTATCACTGATTTACTCAGGATAGTAAAACCTAAGAATACCAAAGCTTTTCACCTCCCTACTTGCCCTTTTAAGGTACAAGGAAAGCACTTAATAAGTACTGGTTATCTGCCATATGGAGTTCTTATTAATTAGAGCAGGTCATGTAAAAATACTCCTATTCATATCAAAATTTAGGCACATGTAAACAATCCTAGCCACAAGCTTAAGGAAAAGTATCTCATCTATTTCAAATATTAAAAATGCAATAAAAACAGAAAAGTTGATCTCAGAAAAAATATGATTTGTTACAAAATAACAATTCCTCAAGTGTTCAGCTCTAAAACTGACCATTTCTATTGTAATTAGAAAGTGTCTATTTTACTGCAAGTGCTCTGCAGAGAGACATACCAACTACAGCACGGTGGAGTCATAGGACATTTCTGCTCTTAGCATTGTAAGGTCTTTGAGATTAATCTAGCTTTAAGCTAAGCTGAATGGGGCTATTTAGCAAGACCTCCTGCGAAGTCTGCACTCACCAGATGAAGACTGTTTATAAAGAGAATTAAGTTCCTTTTGACCATATAAAAGAGCAAGACTACTAGCCAGCCCCCGGCTTTCTAAGGGTGAAATGGAAATCAAGAAAAGCAAAAATGGAGAGGCCTGTACAGCAGTCTACAGCTGTGAATTTTCTAAAGAGGAAATTTCTGCATTTTCACTGCAGAAATTTAAAGCTCCACAAACTATGGAAGATCAAAGACTCCATGTTAAACGAATTTTTCAGAGAAGATGAATAGGAAGGTAAATTCTGTGTCGATGAAGGTGCTCTTCAGGATTGCCCCTTGGTTCTTACACAGTGTCTCCCACTTCATACTCAGATTCCTTTGAATTTGTAGGGTTACAACATTCATTTTCTTTCAGGTTTGTTTCTTCACATTTGTTCATTCTCATGTGCTCTATCATATAATCATTTTCAGTAGAGCGGAGAGGTTCTTCATAATGAGACACACTATCAAACCTTTGAGAAGCCTCTGCTTTCACTGAGTTGTTATGGCTGAAATAAAAATACAACATGAAAGAAAAGTTGCAACTAGATAAGATAGGAGCATCCCCCAGCTGAAGAGATTCTGAGCAAGATTCTGATCTGGCTGAGCTTCATAAATCTGGAACACTGGATTATAACAGTACCCTGAAGTAAAGGATCTTAATCTCCTTACTTTACAGGTGACGGATAATGTAGGAACATTGCTACAAACTCAGAAAGAGTTTCAGAGGCAGCAAAAAAAAAAAGTACACAAGAAGTGCAGTATTTCTCTTGGAATGATGCAAGCAGACAACTGTTCTTTGTAGGACAAACACATACAGAACAGCGGAGAAGCAAGAGGTGAGCTTAACGCAGCCAACATCCACCACGTGATTATGGTAACTAATTCCTTTAAAACAAAAAAGTCAAGATAAATCTGTGGGGACAAACGCCATCACACCACGCATTGAGCTGCTCAGGACTCCACTGTTACTTCAACACGCCTTACAGGCTGGGAAGCACAGAAACATAGGGGAAACATCATTGGGACGTTGTGTAACAAGGGTCAAGCTGTCAATATTTTAATTGATACCCAGACAAGTAGTTCTCCCTGTATGTTTTGGCTAGATTTAGGCTTTTCAACTTGTCTTGCATAGGTTACAAGCAGACCAAGATGCTGACGTTTGATTTTAGAAATAGCTATAGCATCCTGCCCCAGCTATTATTAAAAGAGGGAAGTTCAGACAGGGATATTTTGGGGATAAGACCAGCATTAGATTCTTGCATCAGAAATACTGGTTGTTCAGAAGAAGGGCAAGTCCTTTTTTTTTTAAATAGTTGAAAAATTTATCCTGGATGATTTTCACTTGGCCTAACCAGGCCAAAGAGAAGTTAACAGTTCCCACTCACTTTTGTCATTCTAATATTCTAAGAGATCCTTTCTTCTACATTATAGGCTGATGTGGAAAGACCACAAAAGATGTACTAATGAGGTAACTTTTAACCTCAGCCCTACTGTCAAAGAGATTTTCCATCTTGATGAAAAGTGACTATATTTTTTCTGCTTTGATACAGTCCCCAAAGCCTCCTCAGAATGTTATATGGAAGATGATACTCACAATTTTACTTCGTAGACATGCACTGGAAAAGAACAAAAGTGTGTATCAATAATTTGCATTTTTATTCTCAAACAAAATATATCGTTCCTTGATATAAACAAGTGATTTCTTGAGAGAATAAAAACAGAAACCGAAGAAGAAAAAGAGCAATATTTGATGAGATTATTAATACTAATGAATAGCAAGGAGGTGCAGAAAGGTAATTAAGGAAGAGGAGGCACAACTATGGCCAGTAGTATTTAAAAGCAGAAGCTTTCTGAGCTCTGCTATATTGTTAAAAATCTTTTTCCACACTATTTCCTGTTTGGTCATGAATTTTCTACTACAAAGAAGATTTATAATAGAATTGGAAGATAATTACAAGATTTTCTAATAGAATAGAAGATCAAATCCAACAGGATCTAGATTAATTGGTGACTACCTACAAGCCTGGCCAAAGCACTTTGGGCAATGATTCCATCCCTAGAGTCTCAGTGAGCAGCAGCTGAGCAAACGCAGAAAGCAGCCCAAGTGCACGACTCAGGTGCAACCTTTCTGAAAAGATGCATTTTGCCAGTTTGTGCAAGAGCTTCTTAGGCTCATGAGATCCCCAAGGAAAATGGGACTTCTCTGCCCTTCACAATCTTCCCATTCGTGTATATTTCAACTAATACTTTCATGGTTCAAATAACAGAACTGCTACAGGGAGTAACGAGCACAGTACCACCCCCATCCACAAAAGCCCTAAGGAGTAAAACAAAGCTGGAAACACAGAGCACATTTGATTGTCCAGAACACACTACGCACCATTTTTAGGCCTTCTAATGCAAATGATAAGAAAGATGATAAGGAGGACAACAGCACCACAAATCACAGCGATCAGGACGATCAGGTACAGGGGCAGGCGACTCTTTTGGAAGTCTAGAACAACAAAGCACAAGACTTTCAAACAGAGAAACACTCCTGGGTTGCAATAGCAGCAGTTACACTATATTGATCATCCTCCTGGGGTCAAAAGTGGGCTGGCTGCTCAGGCAGTCTTTGTAATGGAGAGTTATACTACATGTTCTTGTTCCTGCTTTTCCCTATCCTAACACCACCTTAGCCATTTGGCTTGGAGTAAGTTTGTTTATAGGTGAGCTATGAGAAAAATCTGCCTGGATTGATCACTGAGGCTCTTCTGATCATCCAGCTTTCACACTCAAAGAAAATACCTGAATGGATTACTGTTTGGGAACAAAACATGAACACTGATAACTAATTATAAAACTGTAGCTTTTCTTACATCTGGAGTCTTTTCAAGGGTCACCATGAAACGTCATAAAAAAAAGAATCTAGATAAAATTCTTGATCGTGCTTCAAGAATCTAGATAATCCGAGAGCATCATTTGCAGCCAAGATGCAGAACATTAATTTGGAGGCTGAAGATACTGACTGGATCTATAATCTCTTTCCTAGCTTTTGTTCTGTTCTACACTTACCTTCAGTTGCATGATTCTTTTCTGAATTTCCTAACTTATTTTCAGTAGTCATTACTGTTAAGGGAAGATCTGCAAAATAAACATTGTCTCCATTATCTTTACATTACAGTGGAACCAAGAAAACCTCTTGTTCACTTTAAGACTAGAAAAACAAGCGCAAGCAAAACAAAAACTTCAAAGGAAGAAAAAAAAGCCAGAATATCCTCTATGGTTTACAAGTTGAGAAGTGGTTATTTCTAGCAACCCTCCTCAAACACATACAAATTCATTCAGACAGAAAGCTGGAGCAAAAGCATCAAAAATGTTAAGTACATTTTAACCAACAACAGAATACAATGCCAAGCGCTGGCATTAAACCTCCAACTTGACACTTTTCTGTACCATTAACTCTACCTTCTTGGCTATTTACTTCCACTAAACTCACTGCACTTGTGTTTTATCTCCCTCTGAAAGACTCCTGTGGCTGGTGGCCAGAGTTCGAAGGCCTACCAAGGGTACCTGTGAGCTCCAGCCATGGAATGACTAGGTTCGTTATCCAAGGACACTCCTACTTTAAGCAGGCTGACATCAATATGAACAGGTGGAATTGTTCTTGGAGTGGAAGATTTAAAAAAAAAAAAAAAAAAAATCCAACACTCACAGAAAGCATTCGATCTGGTGATCCAATGCCAGAACACCTTAGGGTTTTCAAGGTCTTTCTGGGTAAGCTTGGTCTTTCTACTATCAACCTTGAGAATACAGGCTCTGAACACTGCCAGTCTGAAGCCAGCCCAAAGGCTGGAGCGGTTTGTGCCACACAACACACATATTCATACAACTAAACACACCATCTCAGCTGCTCACTACATCTCAGGAAGGGCAAAATACAACCCCTACAAGCAAGTAAAATACCCTCCACAGAGAGAATTAGGAAAGCAGGATGCTTTGTACTTTGAGACAGCTGGACTAAAAACTGAGGAAAATAGTCTTTTGTTGAGAATGGCTTCCCCCACAACAGAGCTCATGCAAAACACAGATGTTAACCCTCCAGCTGCCTCCTTGTTCTTGCTATCATCTATAACCACTATTAACCCCTTACCTGTGGTTGTGTTGTATCCCTCCGTGATTTCCACGGCAGTCTTAAAAGTCACTGTTGTTGCAGACAGACCTGCAAGTTGAACAAGAATGACAGGCAACAAGAGAGTCTGACTATGGTTTCTTTTGCTGCTGTTATACAGAATTTATCCGCTTGCCCTACAAGACAATGAAAACCCTACAGCCACCCAGATGGCAGGCAGGGGACTGGTGAGCAGGGGTCAGAGCGCAGGCAGGGCCCTCGCCGGGCACTCACCTCTCACAGCGAGCTCCACGGCATCGCTCTGCTGGGTGACCAGCACCCCAATGTAGTTCTCTGCCTCGCAGTAATACTTCCCCGAGTGCGAGGGCCGCAGCCTGTCGAACGTGAGCTCAGCGCCGCTGCTCAGGCGCCGGGCTGCTCCTCCCGGCTCCCCCTGGAACCAGCGGTAGCTGATGGGGGGGGAGCCGCCGGCCACACACGTCAGGCTGGTCCTGGTTCCTGCCGGGAGYGTCAGGCCCCRCTCCCCAGCCCTGACCACGGGCTTCGTCACCGCAACTGCAAGACAAGCGCGCGGGGCCCAGCTCACAGTGGCCCGGCCAGGAGCCTCCCCGTGCTGCGCGGCAGTCGGCTTGCTGGCCCCAAGCCCCTTCCGCAGGGACAGGGCCCCCGASGTGCCAGTCACCCCTGCGCGCAGCCCAAGCCCTGGCCTCCTCTCCTTACACCAGCCAGGCCACATGTGGCCCTGGCCTACACTGAAGGCCTTTTCTGCCTTGTTGATACCATCTCCTCTCCTCTAAATCATCACTGCCAGGAAATTCTGGTATGTATACTGGTATTTGGTCAAGGAGAAATAGGAAAATCTAGGATATTGCTTTTTTTTTTTTTGGCATATCCAATGGAAATATCAGGCTATTAGATATAAGCACTGTCACGGACAAATAAGTGAAAGGCCACAGTGCATCCCGGGCCTGAATTCCCTTCCCTGAACCATTTCCTGCTTCTTAGAGGACTCGGGCTCCACTCAATGAAATGCTCCTGTACTGGAAGCAAGTAACCACTGACTACATAGTCCATTAAGTGATTAAATGCTTTCTGAACAACAAAGGCTTCTACTCTTGCACAACTTCTTTTTTAGATTTACCTTTAACCACCTCAACTCTAGTGGAGATCTCTTTTGTAATCAGGCTCTTGTTGCTGGCTCTCCAGGTGACTTGGCAAGTGTAGGTTCCCCTATCAGAGAACTGAAGCTTCAAAATATGGAGAGAGACATTCCCTGGAGAGTTCTTCGGGACCTCAACCCTATCTCTGTACTCAGACAGCAGAACGTGATCACCAGATGTGTCCCTCCGGAAGATGGTGCCTGAACTTTGGTCATGTACCACAGTCCAAGTAAGTATTTGCTGCAGAAAGTCATTCACAGGCACATAGCTACATGGCAGGATGGTAGTTGCCTTCCACACTCCTTCAATTTCACTGGGGCCAGACAGGTCCAGAAGAGCTGGAGAGAAAAAAAATTAAAGAAATAAAAAGAAAAGGAGAGAACAGAGCTGTCCACCCCACCCCCTTCAAAAACCAACCAAATGAAAAACAGGCCAAGAGAACTCCCCTGCCATGGTGAACTCCTGGACCATGAAGTGATGATGAGAACCTCAGCAAGTGGAATTCACCAGATCAAACACTGGCAGGCAATACAGAGCAAAGGGCTGTCTTTCAGGGCCTAGGCTAAAAACTTAAGACAACAGATGGGAGACAGCTGATTGCGAGAAGAGCTGAAATATGGCACATGTGCCTGTGCTCTGCCCATTGCTTACAGGTTTTGACCCATTTACAGCTTTTTACCTACAAATAGCAGACAGAGCACAGAGGCCATGTTTAGCTTCAGAAAGAGCATGCCATCAGAATTAGAAGGTTTAAACTTGAGTGAGGTGGTTTGTCCTCAAACCTAAGTCCCACAGCTCCCCAGCCACACTTGGCATTTATCCTTTCACCACTTAATTTAATTTTCAGGGCTTTTGTGGGAAGCGCTACACGTTAACAGCAAGTTATAAAGAATTTTAATGTTATCCTTCCCTCTTCCTTACTCTTTCTTATTGTCTAAACAATCATCCTTTGCTTTTCCATACTACCCTGAACTTAAGCATTACAAATAATAGATAAGTCTAAAACTGCTTCAATTTTGCCATTAAAAAAAAAAGTTTTTTTTAGACAGACACCTTATCAGAAAGCATTAGCCTTTACCTTTCCTCCTGGGTTCCAAACCTCTCCTTTGCTGGTGCCATCCTACCAATAACGTGGAGACACATCTAAGGTCAAACAGGATGGCTCTATAAATCTAAGTTTGGCTGTCAGGTTCTTTCCTCTTCTTGCAAGTAGAGGACTAGCAGACCAGGATGCAACCCAGAAGAATTGTGTGCCCAGCTACATCTCTAGCCTTGTGGTTACAGCAGTACGTCTTTCTCTTGCCCCCACCGCTCAGTTTTAGCGGCTGTTCATGCTGCTCTTCACAGGGAACTTTCTAAATACAGACATGCCAGCCAGAGCACAACCCCTCGGCAGTCTCTTTAGGTTCCAGCTCGACGAACATCAGAGCAAACCAGATGCCTGCTGTGCTGCTTGCTACATTCTTTGAAAGAACTCACTGTGCCACATTCAAGAGCTTTGCATTGGGCAGCAGGCTCCACTTTGTACTGTCACGCTCTGCAGCCACTGGATTGGGATCAACTGAACATCCAGCCAGAAGCACAGCAAGGAAGCCACATTTCTGTATCTGAAGCCCCTGTGGAAACACTCACCTACACACACCTGTGTCAGGCACAGCACTTCCTATGAACATAAAAGCTTTTTCATTCTTACCGTTACAGAAAAGAAGGGCACTCATAAACACGGCAGCTCTCACCAGCATCCCCATCCTTTCCAGGTCTGTTACTTCTTCTTCCTTTCTAGTGAAAGAGACCTGCTCTCTGAAAGTCAGTGGGTAAATCAGCAACACTTCCTTTTCTTTATTCACTTTGTCATCTAGAACTCAGAACAGCTGGTGATTGTTTTTCCTTCCTCTTTTTTTCTCCTCTACTTAACAAGTATGTTTTAGTGATGGCTGTTAGAAACATGGGCAGAAAAATCTTAGTAGAGAAAGAAAAGAAGAAAGATTAAGTTATTTCCACCCTAGTTTATATTTCCTACTGTGTTTGCTTTTCTCCCCTGACTTTTTAAAGTCAATTTAAAAATAACTGCTTCCTTTTTTTAATTCCTTTTTTTTATTCCTTTTTTATTATTATTCGTGAGCACTTATTTCCTATTAAAACAGTCACATTAACACAACAAGATCATATTAACTCCATCTAGAGATGAGGAATTTAGACATATATAACTGAAAACAAATGATTTCCAGAAACTGCAAGTAACTGGTTTGACCATCCAACTCTATCACAGATTGAGTCTCCTTTCTCACAAAGCAATTCAGATGTTTTGATGAATAACTGATTAATTGCATTTAATTAACAATACAGATTAAGGACATGGGCACCTGGATTTCACTATAGATTACTGGAAGACTTTACACACATTGTTATTCTAGAGACCTTGTTAATTCTGCATAATAATGGTGCTCGAAAGCATATATATATATTGTTTTGACTATTTATTATTAATATTGATCTAATTATGGTAATATTATTGGTATGAGTTTGAAATTTTGTTCAGGTTCTAATATTTTTATCTATGTTCCCCTGAAGACTGTGATTTCACTATGCGTGCACACACACGCACATACACACACACACACACACACATGCACACACACACATCAGTTTCCCAGCTCTGGAATCTCCTTACCTTTATTTGAATAAAATATCTTTATAAACTTGTGTTGTAGTCACAGGCTGGAGAAACACCAGTTTAACTCATTTCTTATAGTCTATACATTTGCAGTTTTATTTAAAGAGGGCACCTAATCAACCTAACGCCTATCTGAAAACAAAATTAAAAACGTTAGTTAGCAAGAGATTTTGGGGACCTGATTTCACATGCTGCTTCTTTGCAGCCCTGTTATTTCCTGCATCGGAAATTTTCCATGAGATGCAATTCCTGTCTGCAGTCACTGAGAGGGAGAGGAAGAAGTTGTTGCAAGCTGGTTGCAAGGTTTGCAGACTTCTTGGTTCCAAGACAAAGAGGAGAAAAGAACACGTCAAGTTCAAATGAATGAATCTGCTTCCATGGCTGGCTGGGCAGAAAGGCAAAAGCATTGCTTAACTTAGACTAAGTCACCAGGGGACCTACTGCCATCAGTGTATGTGCCATCCTTGAAACTGTCAGACTGAGAACTACCTTGGCTTGATGGAAAAAAAGGTGTGTGTGTGTGTGTGTGTGTGAACATATACAGACATATTTACATTTTTGGTTAGTGGAGGACATGGGCAGGAGAAATCTCTCAAATACAGTATATAATGCCAGTTAAGTACAGACACCTGTACACAGAGACGGAGCTGGGCAGTAGCCCTGTCTCCTGCTTGGGGGAACTAACTGGACAAAGTGTTTTTCAAAATGGCAAACCCTTTTTAGAAGGCAGCAAAGTATTTTTAGCAGGAACTGGATGAGGTGGCCTCATACAGGCCAGGAAAGACTAGAATCAAATTTTGTTACTGGAAATATGGAAGACCATCATGAGCTGAGCTGTCTCTCTGGTAGAGCTTGCAGAAGAGGATTTATCTAGCTTTTCTTAGACTGTGGTATTTCTCTTCAAGCAGCTGAGGACATCCCATGCGCACTGCAGGGCTCACTTTTCTTTGCAAGCCTAGGACTAATACCTATTCTGGAGAGCTCTGTGTGAGCAAGTACAAGCGGTGTGAGATAGCAAGGGTTGGGTGAAGTGCTGGTCTGAAAGTGCACAAGAACTGACGATGAAAGCGGCACGTGATAGGCACGTTGGGTTTGATCACGCTTTGCTCATCAGACCTGGGTGGGTTCTGATATTTTCACCGCACTGCTGTCAAGGGAAACCAATCCTTCCTTTCCCAGCTGCTGCAAAGCAGCACACTAAAACCAGAAGCCACTCACTGGTTCTGGGCATTGACACCAGAGAAGGAAGGAAACTTGCATCACGATGAAGCAACGGTGGGTGGTGGCAGAACGTGTTGTGCATCAGGTTGCAGGGGTGAAGTGCTTTTAGCCCAACACTATCTCGTACGCACAGTTATACGCAGGTTTGTGCTGTGCTACACAGCCCTTCGCCACAGGCCAAACGCAAGTGAACTGCATGGCAGAGGCAGGGAGGCAGCTCCTGGGCGAGGACACCCCAGGCTGACACCGTCTTTTATTGCAGAAGCAGCGTTGAGAAGCAACATTATGTGACACAAAAGTAGAAATAATGGAATAGTTTACTTCTATGAAAAGAGTATAAAACTAAGGATAACAGTGCCAGAGAAGCTCAGCAGATGACCCAAACACTGATCACGAGCTCCTCAGTATCCCAGCCAAGCTCGAGGAAGAAGGGCCTATTTAAGGTTTTAGCATCACGAAAAGAATCATCATCCTACAACCTGTGGCAATCTGAGGTAAATTTGGAAAACAGCATCTGCTGTGGCGAGCTGGATGTGTTGTCTCTGCCGTTCTGGTATTCAGCATGCAGACAGTATTCTGGCAAAAAGGTCAGCAAAAAGAAAACCACCCCACGCAGCTAAGGGTGCGGTGGGCAGAGCCCCTGCTGCCTGCCCAGGGCTGGCCACAAGCGACGGGCGCTGCCCAGACAAACTGGGCAGCACTGGCTGCAACTGGGGAGCCCAGCAGCGGCCACAAGGGCAGCAAGAACTAGCATCTTTCCCCCATGACCGCTGCAGCCTGGAGCCCACAGAGCTGCCTCCAGCCAGGCATCCAAGGTCACCCTCTGGCACATAAGAGAGCTCCAAACAGAAACTGAGAGGGGTGAGAAACTGGGGCAGAACAAGTGCGCGGCAAGATTCACTTGCTCCCGGTCTGCTGTACGGTCACTGTCACACATTGTCTGCAGCAAACCCAGAGCACAACGCAGGGAAAGCGTCCAAGTGTCAGTGAAAGCGTTCCTGTATGGAAAGGCACCGGGTACCTGGAGCTTGTGGTGGACGTCGGAGCCTCGGCACGCGAATGACTGGGATGACTGGGAGCAAGAGTCACCAAGACACCAGTTTAAAGAGCAGCCAGAGCCGCTGGCTTGGGAGAAGTGGGGGGGAAAGCTCCTGCACGGTCTCCCTGTGTTCGGAGAGCAGCTCTGCAGAACTCCAGCCTAGCTGTTGAATTCTGACATCAAATAAGAGAGATTTGGACTCCCAACGCAAATGGGTTCAGAACACCTTTTCTACTGAAAACAAACACGTCCAAAACAAACAAGCAATCCTTTCAGAAAAGGGATGCTCATTTTAACAAAATGGGATAAGAAAAACCAAAATACACTGCTAGTGATCTGAAACTATTTAATTTCTTTTCAAAGTTTGACTAAAATAAATTCAGAATTTTTCATTCCAAGTACTTCTGCCCTTCACCCCACCATTTCAAATGCTTCCCTTTAGTTAAAATTTCTTATGATCCTGATTTTTCCTAGACATTGATATTTTCACTGGGCAGTTTCAACAAATAGTATGTAGAAAGTTATGCTTGTAATTTAGTCCTTCATCACACTGCAGACATGGGATTATCCTATTCCTGCTACTTGCAAGAGGAAACTACACTTTTCATAAAGTAGGCTCACAAGGAAAAACAAAACAACAACAAAAAAAGCAAACAAAAAAAGCACACAAAAAAACCAGGAAATGCTTGCGCAAGTTGCACCAGCTTCTTTCATCTCTTTGCTTTTCGGAAATGGCATTTCAAGGCAGTTTTTTTTTTTTTTTTTTTTGTGGTTTAGCAGGGAAAGAGCTGGGGAGTTCCACAAAATCCACTTAATGGGACACAGCCTCACAGGCTCTGCATTCACCTGCCCATCACCCCTATGCAAAGAGGTTGTATAGGGGTGCAAAAAAAAGCCCTGAGCACAGGGCTTTTCAAGAACAACTGCAAGTTAAGCACCAGGGAGCTGGTGGCACCCAATAAACTGCACATTAACCAACCTAGGGCTGTTTCCTCTGCCAGGATTTTCTCATAGAGCCGTCATCCACACCAAATTATTAAAGGCAGCAGGTATTTCCTGTGTCTTGGCAGCACAGCTGATTGCAGCCAAATTATCCCACTTCTATTGGAGTTTTCAGTCCTGTCTTTCATCTTGCTCTCCCCCTTTCACTTCCCATGCAGTGTTATATCTCCTCTAGCATCAAGACTACTTGGCTCCTTTTTAACAGCAGTAACATTTATTTTTCAAAGTTTGGGGCACAGTGATTTATTCCAGCAACTGTCTGAAATTAAAAATACAGCAGCTTCCTGAATTGTCTACAGGGTTGGAATTGCCATTTTACAGCACACAATCTATTAGGACGTTCAGTTGTCAACTAGAGAGCGCTCTACTACAAGTCCCTCCTCAAGAACGCTGCAATAGAGTGTCCTGGACTTGTGCACCAGCCAGGAGGGCCAGCACCTGGCAAGCTGCCACCTACAGATGTACAAACTCCCAAGCCAGCCTGGCCCTACACTCTCAGTGGCGCTCAGTCCCATTGCCAAAAGCCTTCATTCCACTGTGGTTGCAAACAGGTTAAGAACAAGACCAATCTTCCATCTTCTGCAGGCTGGCAGATTGAAAACTCAGGTGCCAGGCTCCAGTTCAATGCAAATCGATAGCAGCAGCTGCTTAAGGAGACTCCTTGAAAAGCAATACAGCTCTTGCAGTAGCCTTGTTTGGGAAACGTGTTAGCACACACAGACAAAAGATAATATACAAGAAACAAGCACTGATTTTGTAATCCATGAGTTTAATTGCTTTAGCTTGTTTTTTTCTTTGCTGTTTAGCTGTCCCTTTTCTATTGCAATCTGTTAGTAAACTTGCATAAATACACACTTTTCCTAAACCAGTACATGAACCAGATACAGCAGCATAAGTTCCTATCTGCAGTTTTCTAAATCTTGGTTTCCTATCTTCCTAAGAGATAAAGTGAATTTAAAAAAACTATTAGGTAGTTAAATATCTGACAGTGAGCTGCAGTGTGATGACTCCATCATGGAACAATATGATGAGAATCCACAGCAGGAACTACATTCCCACCTAGTTTCTTCAGGAAACGGAAGCTGCAGAAGGTCAGCCTAGTGCAGAACTTTATTCTAGCAGAACAGGGTAGGAGAACAGCATAGGAAGGAATTTTGGGGAAAAGGGTTTTTGGTTAAGCAGACACTATTTTTTGCAATTTATTGCAGTTTAACACATCTTGTAAATTTATCCGTAAGACCCCACAAGCAGAAAATGCAGTAAAGTCCAATGCTCATATAGGGATAGGTAAACAAGTAGCAACTGCAAGCAGAAGAGAAGTCTCAAAATCCTGTCCTATGTCAAAGCAAATTACTCCATTACTCCTTTTTCTTCACTCTAGTTTCAAGGACAGCTGCTGGACTTTGGTAAGCATCTCCTGAAAGGATCAGTTCAAAATTATTGAGAACAAGTGGCCTGTGTGCTAACTGCAAGTTACCCTAGAAGAACTGCCATGCAATGTGCATGAGAAATCCGCTTTATGCAGGATGGAAAGCATTTCCTACCATAACAGCTAAAATCCATGGCAATGGACACATGTCAGCATGTTAAAAAATAATATTCCACAATTAAAATGCATTTTTCCATAGGAAAAAATGTTGCCAGTACCTAGGAGCTAGTCTAGGAGTAGGAAAGCGCTCTAAGCAGGTGCAAACATTATAGCCACAAAATATTAAAAAAAAAAAAACAAAAAACCCTCAGGATTTAAAGTAAAACAGTCAAACAAAAGCTACACAATTTGTAGACAAGCCACATATTGAAAGAGGCTTTCGGAAAGAATAAAACCTATTTTTAAAATACCACACACCACACTACTATCCAGCTAACAAAACAAAAAACAGCCAAACTTTACAAACAGCATACAAACAGATTTCCTCTTGCAGTTGCAGTAAGAGTATCAGATAAAAACAGTTACAGAATACATTGCAATAATGTTTACAGGGAAGTTGTTTCTCCCTCCTCCCAGTGCCTTCAGTCCCATTAGTTCTTGCTTTGACCTTGATTTCATCTTTTCCCGGCTTGCTCTCCGCTTGCAGAAAGAGGACCTTCTTTTGCCTATACAGAGTATGACACCCAAGAGGCAGGAGAGGAGAGAGAAGATGAAACTTCTCGCTGATCCATATATCTTTGTTACCTATTTTACATTGCTCAGCCAGTTATAGATGTTACACAAGTTCAGGAAGGTTCTATCTCAGAGGCCTCTTCTATGAAGTTAGCAACAGGACTGAGCATCAAAAGTGGAAACAGTTTATACTCTCCATTCCCATCCTCTGAGAGGAGAGGTGGATCACCCATTCCTACGGCATCAAGAGGCTCAGCCTGGTTTGCTGGAGCTGCTAATGGCAAGACAGTTTCACTACCTGCTCTCCATCTTCCTTCAGCTTTCTCCTCCAGGGGAGCCAGTAAAAGGTCCTTTGGATCTTCTGTTTTTCCCACTGCTTCGCCCGAGGATAATTCTTCAAATAATGAAAGCAGAGGATTGGCCTTGTACTGTATCAGCTGCATATCTGAGGAAAAACAAATAACTTAAACTCTGGACTGGAGGGAAACCTGAAGAGGCTGCTTCAAAAATTCATTCACTAAAAAAACAGAGAACAGCTGTGCTCTGCCCGTCTACATTCACAGCAGCAAGAGTCTACGAACTACAGTTAAGGCTCTCGTGTCTGTAAGAACCAGTGTTTGAAGCAGGCCTCAAGCCACCGACACACAAGGCACAAAGCAGCAGCACTCAAGCAGCAAAGCGAGGTGCACTGCACGCATGAGGTTTTGTAGCCCATACAGGAGACACGTCTGCAGTCAGATTTGCGGTTATGTTTCCTACTGTGGCACTCTGCCACATGTAATAAAACGGGAACAATCCATGTGCATATGGGCCACAGGATGGAGCTGCAAGATTGAGGCACAGCTCCATTAATATCAGTGGTATCTGCCAGTCTTCACAAACTGCGGTACACTGTATTACTGGCTAGAAAAAAATAAGAACACACAATTTTGAAAGAGTTTGGAACTCCTACAGCTCTCAAATTGTTTCCTGCCCACCTTTGTTTCCTGCTGTTTCTCTCTCATTTGGTCCTAGATCTTCAGTGCTGTCTGCCAGGTTTGCAATCTGAAAGCAAATAGTACACAGGTAAGGCAAACTGCTTAACAACACCCCCTTGGCACATGCCTCCCAAGTCTCTATTGCTCCCAGTCTCTACTGCTGGGTTAACAGTATTAAAAGTGAAGGAAGGAGGTAAAAGGAAGAAACAATTGGCCAAGGCAAACTTCCGACCCTAGAGACACATTATTGTTCACAAGGACCAACAAACAGGAATTCTTAGAGGGAGGCATGGTGAAACATAAACTTATCAAAGGGAGGGAAGGGAGGTTCAGTCCCAGCTGAAGTATTATTTCAGGACTATAAAACAAACAAGTCACACTTGCCAGGATTTCTGTAGCATGGGAAAATTTTAGGTACTAGAAGAAGAGCACTTGCACAGAACTTTAGTGTGTCCCCTCAGGAAAGGCCATACAGCTGTGCTCAGAAAAATACAAGGTACTGCATTGTATTTTTTTCCTTTAATATCCTCTCTTCAGTCTTCAAAGAGACTAATATATACAATTTAAACTGAAATATAGTCCCCAAAGCTAGTTATTACTTGGCAGAAAGGCATCCTGTAAATCTCTGATGTGAGGAGAAACAAGCTAAGGAACTGCACTCAAATACTGAACAAAATACGACATTTTCTTAACCTCCTCATTCTCAGCACAGAGAACAGAATTAATAGTTAAAATATTCTCACAGACAGTTGAGTGAACCAATTTGTTTCATTTTTCCTTATGCATTCAGACGTGTTTAGAAATCAAAGAATATGTTACTGAAAGCAAAGTAACGCTAGACTGAACACGTATTTAAATTGAGTATATTACTGTGGCTAGAATCTTAAAATTATTTTTAATAATAATAATAAAGGAATTAATAATTCTATAACATATGCCTACAATGATAATTGAAAACATTAAGACAACAAGATTAGACAAAGGAGCAGTTTTATGCTGTGCTATCAATCAGTTCCCACCCTTCAAATTTGTCAGTCAAAATTAGTTCTCTGTATCATATTAATCACAGAATCAGAGAATGGTTGAGATTAGAAGGACCTCTAGAGATCATCTAGTCCAACCCCCCTGCTCAAGCAGGGACACCTCCCCATCATAATTAATCCTCCCCATCATAGGAGGAAAAAAAAAAAGTCTCACTCTTACATTTTCCATACCAGGGGAAGTTTCCATCAAATTCATATCCAGGGCTGGCAGCTCAGGGTTAAATGTCTGAAAGTAAAGAAAGACCATATGTAGGAGAACATGTCTTATAAAAGGCTCTTAAAACAGAACCTCAGAGAAATCCTGGCATGACAGGAGCATCTGGCAGATCCACTCATCCACCACTGAAGCAGACGAGCTGGCTCTGCTCCACAGGCCTACAGCAAGTTACTTTAAACCAGAAAATTGATGGTCACAGAAGAGAAGACCACCACATTTCTCAGCAGTTCAAGGGACATGGCTGAGTTTTCATTCTGTATCACAACATGGAATGAAACCCATAATCAGGATGTCACAGTATGTGAAAAGGCTGAAGACAATTCAAGAAATTGAGTTACATGCAGGACAGAAACTATGTGAACTAGAAAGGGCTCTTGTGTTAACTTAACCTTTGTTAGATTTCTAGAATGACTACGTACCATTACTATCCACTATTATTTATTTCTCAAGATTTTCTTCCCTTTTGTCCATTACAACATGGAATAAATCAATTAAAAAAAATCATAATACAACCTAATTAATATCTTCTAGAAATCCGAATATGTTAAAAGACACTCACTTCAGTGAAGGCTTCAGAACCAAGGTTATACTGCTTGGCAGAGAGCATTGCTTGGAGCTCTTCAAGGCTGGCATCAATGCAATTTAGAAAATCCTGGATTTCTTCCCTAAAAAGACAAAGTGTCACTGTATCATGAGAAACAGTCAGCAATTAGGGCTTTCTTTTTTACCACAGTGTAGACAAACTGCAGCAAACGATCTGCTAAGTTCTCGGTTATTACAGCTGTTGGGGCAAAAGGAGAGTAAGGGCGATAGACCAAGGCTTGCAGAACAGGTTATACAAATACAAGAAACCACATTCCTGTGTTGCTTCTCATGGCCTGACTATTTGCAGAACAGGTACAAGCAAAGCCATCTGAACAGCATGTATACTAATTGTTATCATTAAAAAAATGAGTTCTTCCTTCCATACATATTTTCTCCTTATTTTATTAACTTCTGAACACTCTCAGATGCCAGCTTCTATGTTTAAGCAGCAGTTCTGATGGCTTTCACATTGGAACCAAGTGTGATAAGCAAAGGACTGGGAATAACCTATATCTAAAGCAAGATTGCTTCTCTGGTAGCTACAGTAACCCGATTGCTGCAATGTTTCAGTTGTTTCTCAGGACAATAGGTAGGACATGAGACAAGCAGAAAGGAAGCTGCATGCATGGCTCCCCTGCCAAGCTTCTTGCTGTGTTGCAAACTATCTCCTAGACTGCAATACTTAGCTACAAACAACATAAAATTCCAAGTCACTACCCTGTATCTTGCTGTACCAGTAAGGCAGGATAGTATAATCTGGATGTTCAGTGCTAAGTACAGTCACGCAGTTATTCCTAGCTGAAGTATTTGAAAAGTTAATTTACTGTGGTCTAATAATATTCTCTAAAATTTTGATATAAAAGCATTTAATACAAATATCCCATACTGCATAAAACAGTTTTCAGAAAGGAGTTAGTATAAAGATCTACAAACCTGTCCAGTAAAGGATCATTTTGGTTTCCAGAATTGTTTTCATTCAATATGGAGTCAATCACTGACACGGGGTCTTCTGGAGTATTAGTTTGTGCTGTATGGAGCTCCACAGCATCACTTCCTATTTCACTGGAGTTGTTAGCATCTTTTATCTGAATAGGAGGCACAGGTTCTGCACAGTTCGGCTCAACCAGCTGTGATACTTGACAAATAGGTAAGCCTGGATCCAGAGTTGTTTGTGTGTCTCTATAAAATATGACAGACATTTTATGTAATATATCTCATGCAGGAAGAAGATGCAGGAGAATTCAGCAACTGTATTGCTCCTTGCTTGAAGTTTAGTATCTTAATACCTAACGAGGTCAAACCCACCAAGGGTTCAAATAATCAACTGGTCTTTCAAAAAAGAAGGAAAACGAACTTTCTAAAGACAGATGTTGTTACAGCTTATATGGTGAGCATGTATGAGAGCAGAACATTCCATTCTACCACAGTAAAGAGGATATGAGAGGTACATTGGCATGTGGTGGGAGGGAAACCCATCATACTATGTCCCTCAAAATAAAAGATTCCAAACTGCTGCATATTTGACTCTGGATATTGTCAATCAAATAATTCTTTTACAAGAATATGAGGGCACAAAAAATGTTTTACCTTCAGCTGCACTTAGTAAAACATCAAAAGTAAAGCTTAAAAACTTTAAGCTAGAGCAGTACTGGAAACTTTTGTAAGTGTCAACCAGCTTGCTGAGAATACGGGCACTCTCAAAGAGATATGAACTCCTTAAAAGGCTTTGCTGACCCTGGCCAATGCTGCATGCTGTAAAAAAGCCCATCAGGTGCAGACATAATAAAGAATTCAGGGGCTATTTCCCATTATTCATATCAGTCACTTTAACACAAATACTTACTTAATGACATTTGCAAATACTTCTCATCCTTATACATACCTGGCTTTGCTACTTGTATGGGCCAGAGCAAGAAGCCCATCAGTGGCATTATCCAGAGTGTCAGTGATATCTCGAATGATAAGACCTGTACCATTTCCATCTCCACCATCCAAACTATGTTCAGAAAAAGTCACCTGCAGGATACAGCAAACAATGAATAATGCAGAATCTGTATTCTCCCTGCAGATTTTCTTCCCCATTAGGATTTCACCTATGCCAAATTGATGGAATGTGTGATCTTGTGGACAAGATAATGCTTTAAATTTGTCCACCTCAAAATGGACTGTATTCGATTACAAGACTAAGATATTAACAATTACAAGGAAGACTTGCAGGGAGTGGGAGAAATCACGGCATGGCATCCTCCGTGCTGCAGCATTTCAGCCCCTGGAATACTTACTGCTTGGCCACTCTCCACAGGAATGCGAACATACTGGCGACTGTATTTGGAAGGGGAAGCACCTGCAGCGTCTGTCAGAGACCTGAGAAGAAACATGGCCTGAGGGTACATTTCAGCAGTAAAAACTGGGGGCAATGCCAAATAACTGCAGTAACAGGAAGAACCACTGTATTTCACTTTAAGAAACCTTGCTTTTTGAGACTGTTTCTATTAAATGTACTGGAGATGTATTACATTCTAAAGTTATAAAGAAGAAGAAATCTTTATCTCATGTTTTCTACCTCTATCGGCATTCTCTATGAGTGCCCTTCTTGAATGAAAGAACACAAGTGATAAAAATTACACTTAAGTATGTTTCTTCTAGAATTTGATTTGTCCCCGTAACGCATATCTGGCACTAATTTGTCATCTAGCCAGTAATTACCTTTTTCTCTTGACCCCAACAATATAATTTCCTCGCATCAAACTTAGTATAAATTGAAGAATCTAAAAAGAAAAAAAAAAAGTAAAAGAACAAGTGATCAGAACAGCAATCCCGATACTTTATTATTAATTCAGACTTAATTCAGCTTTTAGTGCAAAATTTTTGTAGTTACGTGATTGAAATTAGTAAGTATATTAAATCTCCATTTGTGTTCTTGTCTTAAAAGGTTACAAATGGCACTGAAAAAAATGAGCCCACTAAGATTTTTTTTAATCCAATATACCACCAAAAATCACTACAGAAGATACCAGACCAGAAACAGCTGAGAGAAACCAGAGAAAAATCGATGCAGCAGCACGTACAGTTTGTGGGTTCCAAGTTGACTTCTTGAGTGGTCAAAATCTGATGTGGCCAGAGATATTTCACAGAATCCATTCCAGCTGCCTGCCATCTCTTTCTATGTTCTTACTACCATTCACTGCCTCCAAGCCCCACACTTACCCCCAAGCCCAGTGCTGAATTCTTAAAAAAAACAAAAAAAAAACCCCTTGCTTTACCCATTTCTCTCCAGATAATTTAGCCTCATTGAGCTTTCAAACATACTGAAATATTTAGTATTTTGCTTGTGATTCTTTTTCTAATTCCTGGACACTTAGGAACTGTGAACATTTTGTCTATGCTGCATTAATATAGCCTGTTCAGCTCTGTGTCATTTGTCATTCTACATAAGCAAAGAATGCCATCAGATATCATAGAGGCAGGAATAAGGATGGTAGCACTGAAGATGCTGCAATGGTACCTTAGACAGCAGCTTCTGTTGTTGACTGTGCTTCTGCCTTAGAACTGCCACTTCTTTCCACAGGGCCTTATTTTCTCTGCAATGCAGAATAAATCAGAAGACAGAGGATGAACAGAGTTTACTTTATATGATCTAGTTCCACAGCTTTCAAACTTTCACAGCACCTTGTAGGACCAATGGAAAACTCCATCTCTGTGTGACTAACAATCAGTTATTCAAATCCAACAGTTACGGATTACATTAGCTTCATACTCCAGCAGGCAGGACCAAACACTCACTAATAAGGATGTTCTCATCATCTGCTGCTCCACCAATAATCTTGACATGAGATATTCCAATGCCTCAGAATAACTAGTGTTTGGAAATAGCCTAAGTATAACACACATCACCTCAGAAGTTTAAAAAGGATTAAGGGAAAAATAAGAACAAACTTAGAAAGTTCGCTTAGAAAGAGCGAACGAACAGAGGGTGTGAAGATGTGTTCTGAGCTTTGTTTGAGACCTGCCTGCATGCCAATAGTCACACTGAATTCCCAGTATTTATTCAAAAAGAACCTGAACCAACAGAGATGAAGAAATACAAAGCTCATTTCCAGTTAATAAGAAAGCGAAGCACTAACGCTCACTGCACCTAATCCTATTATGTGTTTGGACAGGAAAGGCTGTGGTCCCCCTAAAAAACTACAGATGCTGGAAACCAAAATGAAATCTCAAGCAGTCCACAAACACTCAATCTTAGTCTCTGGTCTGTTATTGAGTTATATAAAGAAATAAGATTCAGAATGTTGCATGGGTGGCATGGGGATTCTTGGAAAAATACAGTGCATATAATAAAATACATATAATCTGTTTTCATTTCAAATGCAACCCACATTTAGAGTCAGGCTCCATTAGACATAAACCACACTCAATACAGGAGTGCTTCTGAAACAGACAGAGTCTACCTCTTCATATTAGCCAGTCTGACATCCATGTTGTTCTGCTGCTCTCGCATTTCCTGGACTTCAGACAGCACTTTGTGTAAATCCTCTGCACAGACCTTGAGATCTTCGGTTCTTACTGCAGAAACCTGCAACAGGATCAGATTACATAAGCTTTACTAAGGACTGGGCCTTCTAAAGGAGGAGTTATTAGCCTGTAGATGAAAAGTACCAAACTTCATTAAAAGATTACATAAGACTTCATGATTTTTGCATATCACAAAACATGGCAGTTGCTACAGGTGCAGTCCTTAGAACAGTCTCAGCTGCATGAAGGCTGCATCACTAATTCAAAACAGCATGATGTCTGGTACATCACATATATGAATGTTCAGATTTTGTGAACGTACCTTAAAAAAAAGAGGTAGAAAAATTGGCCGGACAGAAGTCAACCTACATTGTTATAAGAGTCCATCACTCCATAAGGAAACAGAACAGAACTATTATGTAAACACTCCACAGAAGTAACTAAAAGGTTTCCTAGTATTTTCCAGTACTGCAAAGCATGGATCCAGTGCCCTGATCCCTTTCTGTCTACATTCTTTGGTATCTCTGTACTTGTTGTAGAGGGTCAGGTGCGTACTGTGTACCCCAAATGAAATCATGACTGTCTTTTTCCTTTTCAACATAGCACCTGTACAGGCAAGCCACCAAAAAGATGAAGGCAGACCAAGGAAATTTCAAATACTCTCAGCCTGTATCTAAGAAAACAACAATCAGTTCCACCTCAGTGCCAGGGACTGCTCTCTTCACACTCTATAGCTAGTGAGGGCATCAAGACAGATGCACAGCAGCCGAGATCCTAGTGCTAACTCCCTAAATAGGGATTTTAACTAAAGGAAGTCCTGCATTCAAACTTGAATTCCTGTTGGACTTTTGACACCCAATTCACAGTAAGTGCTGAAATTTGACTCCACTGCAGACCATAAAAGCAGAGGAAAAACTCACAGAGGTTTGACCCATTACAAAATCACCAACCCTTCATGTGCAATGAAGAATACATTTCACAGCCTACTCAACAATGCCATGCCAATGTCCTTGGCACTAAATAAAGCTTTTGTCTTCTTCTAGGGCACTCCACCCAAAGCAACACTCCTGGGATACCTGCTCCATACAGAACGTCATCAGTTGACTGTCCCAACACACCAGAACGTGAGGTGGGCAAGCTAAGACAAGATGGTAATTACAGTGTCTGGGAAGATAGGAGGAGGCCTGACTCAGAGCAGCAACTGTACAGCTATATTTGATCAACTGTGATTTGGAGCACAGATAGTCCAGTGAAGGATCAATCAAAACGCAATTGTGACTCTCCAGCTAATCCTCAAGCCTACACGGTGCTGTTATTAATGTGGGCAATAGAGCCACCACATTATGATGTTCCAAAGAAAAGACTCTGCAGGTCGAATGTCAGCAGGATTTATCATGAGAGTCTCCTCTGGCAGCAAAGATATTATGGCTTGCCATGAGCAAATAGAGGATAAATTCTTGTGTCAAAACAGGTCAGACAAGACTCAAATTTACAAGTGAAAACTGGAAAGAACTAAAAAAGATGCAGCTTAGTGGCAATACATTTTTGGAGGGACATCATCATTTACACAAACCCAAATGAAGTGATTTCTATTGCCCTGGCTGTAGCTTTTGTTCTCAGTGTTATCAGTGAGCAGAAAAGGGGAGTGTATTTCTTCTCATTCTTTCACTCTAAGACCCTTTAAAATTCTGCTACTCCAATAAGATTGAAGCCATAATTGTGTATGTGAATTTGGATAGAGAAGGGATCTAGTTCGCTCACTGTAAGGACTGGGATCTTCCTCCAGTGCTTTCTTAAAGAACGTGGGGAAGAGTTTTGTCCAAGAGCTTATGTAGGGAAGCCTTGCCAAGGCTCAGGCCAGGCATTCACAGAATTCAGAGGAGCTACAAAACATGTTACTGCTCAGCCTCAATGCTCCCCTTGGTTCACACAGAATTATTTGCTTTACAGCACTAATGGTCTCTGGACTTGCTCTACATAACCTGCTTTTCATACAAGGAGAAGAAAAAAAAAAAAAGAAATTCACTCTTGCATTATACCTTGCGCTTGATGTTTTCCAGTAAGTGTGCCTTCCCTTGCTTGAAGAAAGGATGCTGGAACTCAATGACCGAATTTTTCTCCACTGTAATCATACCATTCTCCAGTGCAATCACTTTCCTGAATCCATCTGTGAAGAGAGATTAAATATATATATATATATATATATATGTAAAGCTTCAAAGTAAAGCTGACATAACATAGAACTAAAGAAAAACCCCAAAGTATCAAAAAAACCACTGTAATAGTTTTTAGGAGTAGGAACTATGCAAAAGCAGCTACACATTTTTTTTAGTGCTCGGTCATTCCAGCTGTTGTAATTCCATTGCTGGGGAATACTTCTGCAACACTGCCCAACAATCTTGGCAAAGGCTGCATGAATGGCATGCAAGGCAAAAGCCTATCAGCAGTATCCCAAGCCAAGACAGGGATGTCCAAACAATCAGGGAAGTTAATCAGAAAGGTGAGTTATTAGGAAGTCATGAACAAAGCCTTGCCCCAATGGAAGAGATGCAATTTTGCACCTTCCCTTCCCACTCACAAAATAAATATCATGTACCAATAGGGTCTACAGAAAAATTTAAGGAGTAGAAATTAGATCTCAGCCTTATCTTTCCATAACATCCAGACTGTCTGCATAAAAAAAAAAAAAAAAAAAAGCACATTGCAAGCTCTATTTTCAACACTGTAAAAGACAGTTGACAAAGTAATCCATATCTCTCTCCTCACTGAAGTTTTTAAATCTCTCTCCTCACTGAAGTTTTTAACATATTTAATGTATCTCAGGTTCACTGCATCTTGATATCACTACCATAGATAACATTACTCAAACCCAGGATAACCAAGCAGGAAAGGAAGTCTTCCGCACCACTGCCTGTCTTTACATGTCCTCACCATTTAATCTCGCTATGAGACAATTGATGTTGCTTGTTTACATTATCCTCTGACACTCAGGCATTGGAATCTCAACTCCTGACACAAACAGTAGCATCTCCACCATGCCCAGAGTCTAAATGATCTTTCTCTATCTCACATCTGAGATGGAATGAACATGCAGGAGCTAGAGACTAAACAAATTCACTCGCCAAGGACCTCCCCCTCTTCTCAACAATTTCCCTCAACTAAGCCACAGCATTATCATCAATGCCATCAATGCAATGCTGTAAATTAGCAAACTTCAGCAAAGCTCTATGATGAATTCTACAGTTCACCCCTGTTGAGGTAGTAGGAAACATTTCTATCCTAATGGAAAAGAATGAGTTTTGGGGGGGGGGGGGAAGAGAGCTTTCATTTGTACTGAAGAAAGAGATACAGAATATCTACAAATAGTTGGTTGCTGAAATACCTGAAATACCCAGCTTAGCTCACGAAGAGCTGTGGTTCATACCTACAGCATCTTTCTGATCCTTTCGTTCCCTGAAAAGAATTTGCTTAGTCACATAACCCCCCCTCACCTCAAAAGGACTTGCTAAATGAAAGGGCCATTTTCTATGCGATTTTCACCTCTACTTGGCCCATAAAATATCTATTGCAAAGCAACTATTTCTGATGTGCGTTTCAGCCCTGCATACTGTACTGTCTTTGAACTACCATCTCACTGTTTGCCTGTACAGGTTGTACATTTACAGTATCATGTAACTAATACTACATCATGCTCAGAAGTACATCACAGAAAATATAAATGAAAAATTTAGTCCAGGTCTATCTATCAGTACAACTGTTCCTGTTTTAACACAGCAATGCAGGCAACAGCACAATCCAGGCAACTTTCTTCACACACTTATTGCATGGGGGTAAGATACCACCTTTGCTCCTCCAAACATTTACAGGTTTGCTACTAATTTGTTGCTACCATTAACATCACTATTACAGCCAACTAAACTACTTAACCTTTATGTACATATGAAACAATGTATGTTATTGTTATGTACAATACGAAACAATATGTTATTGTTATTAAAGAGACCCAAAGTTAAAATACAGAAAACAAAGACTAAGCCAAGGTCCGTTATTATCGATCCCTTTTTCAAAATAAGCTCAAGATCAGAATTCAGGTTTTCAGGGATCTGCCAAGTTAATTGTTTTGATTAAAGAAACACAAATGAATGCTAAGTAGCAATGAGCTTGGCAGAAAGAACCTGTGAGAACAAGTCATACTTACACATGTTAAGCTGACGTATGAAACTGGAGATATTGTTGTGTTTGAAGTATTTGGGAAGGAGCTCCTTAGCAAACCTCTGCTCATCCAGAATACAGAAATTTTCACCATTCTAGGAAATAAATCCAAGCAGCAGTTAGAGAACATGCACAGTATTTCTAAGACTACTCATGTGTGAAGATGTAAATTGACAGAGAGAGCTCCTGAAACACGAAAGGGCAAAACATTTAGTGAGGAACTGCCTGCATGGGCACTTCTGAGTAATGAGGACTGTACTAAAAAGTATGAACCCAAAAATACCGTTACATGCAACTTTCCTATTGAATAAGGGCCTTAAAGGAAAGAAGGAAAAAAAAAAAAGTTTTGAGCTTAAGCCAAAGGGAAAAAAAACACAACCACACAATACATATTTGCTTCTCTGCTGGTTCCCAGGAGACATAAATATTGCTTAAACACAGTGGAATTCATGCCACTAGAGGGCTTATATCTTGCTTGACCAGTCTGATACCCCTGACAAGGTTCTTCCACTGCGTACGCTATGTCACCACCAAAAATAACCAAGTTACATGGCAGAGCCACTACAAGTTCGCACAGCACAACCCAGCAGTGAAAAGGGGTAGCTACGGCACAACAGCTTTGGATTCGTCATACTCTCAAGCCCAAGTTTCCTGGAACTGGGTAGGTATACCTCATGTTTCAGTTCTATTCACAAAAATGATGTTTGCCTTCATCTTTGCAAATGACCAAAGAAGTGAATACTAAAAAAAAGAACAAAAAGGAAGAAACCCGCGCGCTGAAGAACCGCCCGGCACTAAGACGAGCGCGGCCTGCGTGCGTCCCGGCGCCCTACGCGCTTGCCCGTGTCTGTAATGTTCCACGCCCGCAGGCACAAGAGGCCAACAAGGGCTATTTTCCCAGCCTTAGGAAGACAGGATGAGAAGTTAATTACTTCGTCAGGAGCCTTTTCTCGCGGGTGCCGCCGCTTTTCGGTAATTACCGACGCGCGGAGCCAGGAGCGTTCCCAGCGCGCGGTCCCCCGGGGCCGTGGCTCTCGGCCGCAGCAGCGGCGCAGCTCGCACCGGCCCGGCCGCCAGCCCGCGGGCCGGGGCGCTGCCCGCACCGGCGCGGCCCTGCTGCGGCGCCGCGACCCCGCGGCCTACGCGAGGCCCCGCGCCCCCGCCGGCCCCCAGGCCTGGCCCGCCCTCGCGGCCCGCCCCCCGCGCGCGGGCCCAGGCCGCGGCTCACCCGGCTCCAGCAGATGACGGCGTCGCTCGTGGGGTCCTCCACGAGCGCCCAGAGCTTGGCGAGGAAGCCGGGCACGGCGGCGGGGGTGCCGGGCAGCGCGGGCGTCTCCCTCATGGTCGCACCGCTCCGCGGGGGCCGCGCGCTGCGGGGCCGCGCAGGGGCGGCCGTGACGCGGCGCGGGGGCGGGGCCGCTGCCGCGGGGAGCCCTCTCATTGGTTCTCCCGGCGAGGCCCCGCCTCAGGCCGCCTCGCGCGTGACTCTTGTTGTGCTCCCGCCGCGGAGGGCGGGGGAGCTCGGCCCGCGCGAGGATCGCTGGTGACGTCACGGGCGTGCCCAAAAGGGCGCGGGGCGCAAGCGCGCGAGCCCCGCCCCACGCTGCAGGTAGGTTCGCGCGACGCCCGCCGCGCCTGCGCACTGCAATCCGTGCCCCTGGGTGCGCGGGCGCGCGGCGGCCGCCTCAGGGAGGGCCCGCGCGTGTCCCCGGCTTCACTCGTGACCGCCCCGCAGCGCCCGCGCGTGACCCGCGGCCCCCGCGGAGCAGCAGCTGGGCGAGAGGCGACCTCGGGGCGGCCCGTTCCGTTCTGCGGGGCGGCGCTGTGCGCCGCGCTCCCCCCGCGGGCGCGGCCCCCACGCGGTGTCCGCGTCACGCGGCGCCGCCCGCCCCGCCCTCGCGGGCTCGACTTTGTCCCGCGGCGGCGGCGCCCCGCGCGCGGGAGGATGCGCTGAGGGAGCGGCACCGGCGGGACCCGCGCAGCACCGTAAGGCCCGGCCCGCGCCCCCGCCGCCCGCTCCCGCTCGCGGTCCTGCGCTCGGGCTCGGGGCGAGCGGCGCGAGCCGCGCGGGTGCGGGGACCTGCGCCTCGATCAATGGGGGGAGTCAGCTGGCAAATAACGCTGAAATCTAAATCTTCTTTTGCTTGCAATTCCTGTGTTGTGAATGAATCAAAATCCTTCCAAAAGTAAGGAATTTATTATCGTATATAAAGACTTATGGATGACCAAAAGTAGGTTGGCACTTTTTACTTTAATAAGTCTTTTAAAAAATGCTTAACTCTCTTCAAGTTCCACTTTTGGAGTGACTTGGTGGCGCTGAGTCCCTGTGGGAAGGAGCTGGGAGCGCAGCGAGGAGCCGCGGGTGGGTTCCAGCCACGGCGAGGCCTCTGTGGGCACCGTCCCCAGGGTTCTCCCATGGGTTTTGCCCAAGGCTGGAGCAAATTCATAAGGTGTTGTGATCACCATGTTTTCTGGTCTAGTTTCACCAATTAAATATGGTGATGTTGCCTTACTTGAATTTAATGTCTTAAGTAATGACCTGGTTGTGTGAAAGCAGTGGCCTGACCCAGCGGGAGAGGTCTTTCACAACAAAGTGTGTCTGCCGGAGCTGGGTGTGAAGCCGAAGCCTTTCCGTGGTGTCTCTGCAAGGAGCCTCACGTCACGGTGAGGGGTACGCGGGCCCAGTGGGAACGTCCCGGGAGCGGCGGCTGCCCGGGAGGCGCTGGGAGCCGCGCTGGCCAGGGGCAGCTCTTTGTCCCCTGGCACTGCCGGCCTGTCCCCTGGCACTGCCGGCCTGTCCCTTCTCCCCTGGTGTCACTGCTGCCTTTGGGTGCTCGTCACGGGACGCGGATGTGGAGCGGTGTCGGGGCAGCTTCCCGAGCTCCTCGCCGTGAAACCCCCGGCTACAACGGGGCGAGTGCCTGGGGGACTGTCGCCCCCCTGGGAAAAGCACTGCCTGTTGCAGCAGCAGAGGCGGGCGCTGAGGTCGGGACGGTCATCGGGCAGGATTTCGGGGGCTCGTGTTTTGCCATGGTCCCTACCCCAATGGCTTCATGCGAAAAGAGCTGTTCTCTAGCAGAGTTCCTTCAGGGAACATGATGCTGGCCTCCTTTACCTGCTGCCCCGTGGAACTGCTGGGTAAGGGCTGTGCTTGACAGACTGCAGATAAGAAATCTGTCTCAAGCTTTGAGATTCCTTAAGTAGCATCAGATTTCACAGCTGCTCTGAGAAACCATTTCCAGCGTGGTGTCATGTGCATGGAAAGCTTATGGAATACCCAGCTTTGCTGCAAATAAACCTGTTTTATTCCTGCGTTTATTACCAAAGATAAGGAAGAACAGATAACCACAATCCTCTTTATAGAAATCTTTTCCATGTTTGAAGCAGTGTTATGTTGCAATCTTCTGCTCCCTAAAGCTAAGTGGAACTGATACCTTCATCCTTTCTTGATAGAGCACATTTTTTTCTGATTCTCCTACTTGGTTGCTGTAAAAACAGATTTTTAAATCTTTTTTAAAATAGAAAAAATAGATCACATTTTTTTTTTCTGACAACTCCAACTAAGTTGCTTATGTCCATGTCTGCTGTAACAAGAACTGAGCATTACTTTTAGAAGACAATTTGATCAATGGCAATAGAATAGTTGCATCCAGTTTTAACTACATCACTGAATGAGGTCTAGTTTCAGTATCTTCGTGTGTGGTTATATGTGTTTTTTCTTCCACTTTAACCTCAAGGGTGTGTGTATGTGTCTTTTTCCTTTTTTTTTTTTTTTTTTCTAATTTTTTTTTCTCCTCTTAGCCTCACTTCTGGTCTTCTGTATTGCACCACTTCCTCCTTGTGTTCATACAATTTTGTTTTGTTGACTTCAGACAGTCATTTCAACCTGCCACATTGATTTTTAAACCCTGCATCTCTGCAGAGTGTTTCTGGTTCTTATTCGCACCCAGCTGGGTCTCAGTCGGAAATTCGATGAATAAGCTTCTTATTTTGTGATCCAAATCATGGGGAAAATATTTACTGGAGCTGGACTAAGGGAACAGCCTGATACAAACCATCTGAGAAGTGGTCTGTGGTTAGAGAACCACTCTTTAAGAGGGACCTTTTAAAGAACTTAAATCATTTTGTAGTGGCTAAATTGGACTTTCTCAGGTGCTTGAATAGAGTGACCTTGGCAACAATTCAAAATAAAGTTGTTTGCTCAGGATTGTTTTCAGTAGCTCTGGTCCTGTAAGATGATTTGGGACATCAGAATTAATATATTTCGCTTGTGATTCCAATATACTTGTCACTCTTTTAGTCTTGGGTGACCAGGACACCCTAAGAAGACATTTACACAGCCTAGAAAAATACATATGCCTTTTTCTGCCAACATAGTGCTGTTGATTTTGTTAGGGGACCAATTTCCGTCTTAAATATAATAGTGTATTTTTTAAATGCCCTTGTAGAATATCTAGTAACTTCAAGCCAACTTATTTTCCACGAAGTTATGAGGTTGCATGGACAAATTCCATTTATGATTCATGACAATTTTGTTTTCTGCCAAATAGGCTCGTTCTCCGAAAGGGCCTTTACCTGAGGCGATGATGGGGTCGCTGTGCTGGTTCACGTTTTACATCCCTTTGCTATCGCCCGCTCTGGCTGGCGGTGTCACCCGAGTCTATTACCTGGGGATCCGGGAGGTGGCCTGGAACTACGCTCCGTCAGGAAGGAACGTACTTGCTAATGAAAGCATTGAATATAACCTGTAAGTATTTGGTCCGGTACTGCCTTAAAATAGTTGTCCAGATAGTTTCATGCAACTATTCTGGGGCATCTAAGTAAGCAAGAGACATGATTATGTACTTCATCTTTATGGGCTTAATGGTTAACTTGTTTTATCATAGGAACATAGAAACTATATCACTGGAAAAATGAATAGTCTGTTCAATTGAGCATGCAGTGACTAATGCCAGTTACATTAGAGGAAAGTGCAACTACTCTGTAATAGAGCAAATTGTGCAATATGCAAAATTAGTTTTTCCTAATTCCAGATGGTGACCAGCTCACATATCCTGAGGCATGACGACTTTTAGTCTTGATGCAAATGACGAGATGGCTGGGTTTTGTTTAAATGGTACTTCAGCCTTAGGCTTAATGGGAATTTCTGCATGAAATATTAGGGATGATGAAAATTGCTTTGTGGAGAAATAAATCCGAATTTGGTAATATCTACTTAGAGTGACTTCAAAAATACATTTTATTTCTGTTTACTTTCATTAAAGAGAGATCTTTGCTTCTGTTCAGCACATTTTTGACATTTTGCATTTTTACTTCCATTTTTTATGGAGACCTATAGAATCTTGATGTGCTCTGAGTTATTTACCTCTACTCTCCCATAATAACACTGAGGTGTTCAGATATCTGCATTCTGAAACAACCCAGCAGGAGAGGTTCGCAGAAGAGATTCCAAGAAAAACAATAAGCTCTGTCAGCTTAGTGTTGATAAGTGTCTTCTATCTGGAGGTGCTGAATAAACTAAAATATGTGTGTAGGTATATATTTTTTTTCTTGGAAAAATGAAGAATTCAAGAAAGTAGATGTAGAAATTAACTCTTGCAGTGCTAGTAAACACTTCCTTGTTTGTTTTCTTTCATAATAGATGAGCAGAAGAAAATGAAAAAAAGTGCTTCTAAACTTGAAAGCAACTTGTTTGCTGTGACAGAATAGTTCTTAACTAATGGGACTGATTGTTACTAAGATCATGAGACAGAAGCTTTCAGCTGTCACTGATACCTGGACCATGATTCATCTCTTATCTGCTAAGAAATAATCATAGAAAGTAAATACTCTTCGGTGTTGACCTTTAGTCCTTGTAGGAGGCTTTAACTCTGAAGTTGGTTTATGTGCTGGGGACATATCTCCCTGAGCAGGCAGGCTGTCATTCTACAAATAATCTGGAATCTGTTAGCTAGTAAATCACCTTTTAGACTGAATTTTGTCCAAGAGAGCTCAGCATGTTTTCCCTTGTTGTAACTGAGCTACAAAGTCCACGAGGCATTGGGTTTTCAGAAAGTCATTTTGATGACAGTAAAAAAGCGGTGAGAAGGGCCTCAGTCTTCCCTCTTTCACCTTGTGCTTGTCGGCGGGAGTGGCAGCGCCTGTCGCGTTCTCCGCTTGTGCAGCGTGAGCCCTTGCCGACAGGGCTGCGCTTGGATCTCTTTTGCAAAGAATTCACTTCCCTTGTGACTTGTCTCAGATTTCCAGACTGCTAATTTGTTCATGTCCTGTGCATTTTGCATTCTCAGAAAGCAGACAAATCTAAAGGCTAGTGCTGTTTATTTTTTTTAGTTAGGCTCTACTGTGTGTCTCACCACAATCACAAGTGGGAGAAGTACGCTGCTGGCCTAGGGCACACCAATGCACAGCATTGAATGCCTTGTATTGTGCCAGAAATTTTAGCTTAACTTGTCATTGTCACTCTACTGTGTCACAGATCAGCTGTTCTATGAAATGTGATCTAATGGTACCTTTCCCTCTTCTGAATTTAACAGCAAGTCTTCAGTGTTCCTCCAGCCTGGTGCAGACAGAGTGGGAAGCACGTACAGGAAATCTGTCTATAAGCAATACACAGACTCCACATATACCACTGAGATTCCCAAACCTGCCTGGCTGGGCTTTCTTGGGCCCATCATCCGAGCAGAAGTGGGGGATACCATTAAAGTACATCTAAAAAATTTTGCTAGTCGGCCATACACAATCCATCCTCATGGCGTTTTCTACGAAAAGGACTCTGAAGGTAAGTGAGCTGCTACCGTAATGGAGGCTGTTTTCTGATTAGGAATTTAGAAATATGCACAAGGATTTCTGCAAAGAAGCCAGAAACTTGGTTAGCCCGAAGCTACACTGCCGGAAAGCAACTGTACTTGGATTTACTGAAGTCATCTGATGCTGAGTTAGTAGATTGATGGGTCTGGGAGCAATTTCCTGACCTAGGCATTACAGTTCAGTCTATATTTCTTTTCAAATTTATTAGCATCACCAAAAGCTCATCAGTGGGAGAAGAGCATAGAAGGAGAGGAATTAATTGTCATTAAAATGCTGTAGTATTATAATTGTGAGTATGATAAGCCTGAAAGTTTACAAGAATGATGAAATATGAGACCAAAGACGTGTTGTTTGGAGCAATCCTAGAGATTTTAGAGAGATTTGCTGCAGAGCATTAGAGTTGAGGGCAAAATAGCAATTGGCAGAACAGGAATCATCTTCGTGACTCTGTTGACCTGTGTACTGAGCAAGCTGCCTTACAGTAGCTCTGTTCCTCGTTACTCATTGAGAGAATGATGATTAAACACTCTCTGAATGTGGTGAGTGTTTATTGCCAAAGTATATATGTGTAGCTGTTTCCGCTGAGCCTCTCACGCTCAGCATAGTATAGAGTTGCATGTATGGATTCTGCTCTTCTTGAACGGTTGTTGTGATTACTCAATTGTTCTAGGATCCCTGTATCCCGATATGTCCCCCCAGGATCAAAAGAAGGATGATGCTGTTTTCCCAGGAGGGAATTACACCTATACTTGGACTGTCCCCGAAGATCACAGCCCAACTGCTGATGATCCGAACTGCTTGACCTGGATCTACCATTCTCATATTGATGCACCAAAGGACATTGCATCTGGATTAATTGGGCCACTGCTAACATGCAAAAAAGGTCAGGGAAAGGCAGTTTAGGGCTGCAGGGTGGAGAGGGTGGCGACCAGAATGAGCATAGGAGGAGGGGATGCTCCAGTTGTGCTGCATTCTGCGAAGCTGGGAGCTGCCTGCTGGAGACGTGTGTTCTAGCTGGATTCTGATAATTACCCTGTGTTTCTTGCCTACCGGCTGCATGGCCGAGCTTCTAGGCTGCTTTGCCCAAGAGCGTCGTCTAAATTTGCACTAGGAGCAAGTCTTTTCTAAGACATGCATTGAATATTAAAACAGAAAGAAAAGAAAGAGAAGAAGGGAGAGAGGGGAAAGAAAAGGCCTAGGTTCAAGAATTATAAGGGCACTGAGGGTTTTGTAACTCGGAATTGTCAAGCAGTGTTAGGGCTGCTTGGAATGAGAAATACATTAGGAGGGAATGCAATATGAGTATGGTTGGTAGAACTCTGCAAAGAGCTGGGCTAGAATCACGAGGAAAAGTGTCAGTCCCTGACTTGTGTGATAAATTATTCTTCTATGGATGGGTTTAAACTCTTGTCTGATGTCAACTTTTCTCAGTGCTGAGGGTACTCATTCTTCTTTCCTTTGGCCTTAGGGATACTTACTGGCAATTCTCAAAGACGCCAGGATGTGGACATTGATTTCTTTCTGATGTTTAGTGTGGTGGATGAGAATCTAAGCTGGTACCTGGATGCGAACATAGCATCATTCTGTACAGATCCAGGCTCTGTAGACAAAGAAGATGAGGAATTCCAAGAGAGCAACAAAATGCACGGTCAGTGTCACCTTTGTGAAGCTGCTGGCTTTGTATGTATGCTCCAGGGATGGCATCATTCTGGTATCCTGAAATGCACTTTCTGCTGTTATACCAGGGTATGCTTAGGGGGAAGAAGGGCACTAGCAAACTGTGAGATAGTTTAAGCCAACAGTGTCACAGGGACAGTGCAATAACTCTAGAAAAAAATACATGTGCATTTAATTTAGTCTTTGGCTTTATAGAGCCCGTGTTAAGGATTTGGAGGTGCTGAATATATTTGTGAAGCAGTGCTCTATAGAACTGGAAAGGAGGACAGATTCTGGTCAGATCCATCCTCTAAACATCTCTACTGCAGGCAGAAGTTCTGAAGACTTTTTCTGATATTGCTTTTGGCTTGTTTGGTTTTGCAGCTATTAATGGCTACGTCTTTGGGAACCTCCCTGAAATGGCGATGTGTGCTGGGGATTATGTTGCATGGCACCTCTTTGGGATGGGCAATGAAATCGATGTTCACACAGCCTACTTCCATGGGGAGACGCTTGTTATCAGAGGCCACAGGACAGATGTGGCCAGCCTATTCCCAGCCACTTTTGTCACGGCAGATATGATTCCCAGTAACCCTGGGAGATGGTTGCTGAGCTGCCAGGTCAACGATCACATACAAGGTAAGGCAGAGGCTGGAATCTGTCCTGTGTTCTGTGGCCTTCCTTTTTGCCCACTCATGGTTCCCTGGCATGCTAGGGGACAGTACCTTGGGCACTCTTCTTGCTAAAGTGACCCCAGGTGAAGGGAGTGAATCTGTCCTTCATATACTGGAACAGATTGGTCAGTAATTCACAGGCCAGATGTGCTAGGGATGACACCTCCCACCCTACACTGTTCCATGTTGATCTGTCCTGAACACTTCAAGTCTGGCATAGCTGGATGTTAAGACAAGGCAGTGTCCTAAAGAGCTCTAACCTGGTAGCAGGCACTTGCATGGTACATCTGAGGGCAGCAGAAGGCTCTACTTGTGTTCCATCCATCCTTTCTCATTTAGTATCTGATATCTACGGCAAGAAGCTCTGTTCACCGGTTTCCTTTCTGTGGGGACCAGTTAATCTCTCTCTCCCAGCCATGGGACTTTGGAAGCAATAAAGGAGGAGCAGCCAGTTCATAATAGGAGAGTTGGCCTGTGTTCATTCCCTGATCAAACTGGCAGATTCTTTCAGCCTGTGTCCACTCTGTTTTGGGCAGCTGGAATGGCGGCACTCTATGAAGTCCGACCTTGTTCCCGGCAAGCTGCAAAATCCACCCTTAAAGGGAGAGTTCGGAAATACTACATAGCTGCAAAGGAAGTGCAGTGGGACTACGGCCCCTCTGGGCTGGACCGAAGCAGCGGGAAGCAGTTAACTGAGGCAGGCAGGTGAGTTAAAGACTGGGGTGCTTGCAGCTCTGTTTGGGGGCCTCTGAGTGATACAGAGGCTGCTAAGGAAAATGTAGAAGGTCTTTCTTAAAATACGTGAGCCTGCAATTCACATGAAATAAGGTACTGAAGAAAACGCATCAGCCTAGCTACAAAGGTAGGCTGCTGTAGCTAAACTGTAGTAGAACCAGTGCTAGGCACCTTGGGGAATTGTACATGGAAGGTGCATGGTGTGTGCAGAGCTACCTGCAGGCTCCAGGGTCAATTCCGCCTTGTGTAGGGTATGAGCTGCATCACCCCTGTATCACGTGTGCTCACGGTGCCTGATCTGGAAAGAGACCTGCAAGTCTGAACTTACTAAGAAGGCACTTGGTGGAGCAGACATAGGGTGGCAGAGCGAGCCTGTGGATGTGCTTCAGTGTTGGCTTGCTTCAGCAGGCAGATTCTAGGAAATCAAGGCTGATGACCTTGGTGAGTGCTCCATCCCCCGTGTCAGGTGGTTGTGAATAGCAGTTGGTATGTGGCTTCCCTTTCAAAGCCTAAACAAAGAGTGAAACAAAGACATTCCCTGTGAAGCCGTTAGCTGTAATGTTCTTCTTCCAACTGGGAAAAAATAGAAATGCAGAGTTTTAGTTTACCCAAAGCCATGAACCACCTCTGTTGTAGAACTTTAAAACTGGAAGTTTTCTATGTCTTATTTGTCCTTATAACTGAGCTGCCTCTCCTGCAGAGCGGGTAATATCTGTTCGGAGAGCATGATGGCAGTGGAAGTAAATCTTCCACTGTCTTTACAGCTGTTGTTCTCAATTGTGGTTGCATTTGCTATTTGGGGGCTGAGTCTTGGCCTGGAAGGAACCCAGCCTTGTCACCCGCTTTTTACTGCAGTTCTGTTCGTTGTCCACATCCGCACATCTTGTGCAGAGCTGCTGTTCAAATTTGCACTGCTGAAGCCAGCTGCGCTAGCCTCTGTTCCCTGAACACAGCTGGTAGATGAGTCTCTGTGATGAAAGTAATTCACAGACAAATTATGCTGAGTTCTACAGGGTCATTGCAAACCTGACAATACCCTCTTTGGAAAGGTACTTAACTGGGAGGTGTGGGATGGAGGAAGAATAGGACTTCCTATGAAAAAAAATCATCTAAAACTTCTTTTTTGCACCTAGCCCCGCTGAACAGTTTTTCAAGCGTAGCCATTACCGAATTGGGGGAATTTATTGGAAGGCAAAGTACGTGGAATACACTGATGAGACCTTCCGTGAGGAAAAAAAGCAATCAGAAGAAGAGAAACATCTTGGGATACTGGGTAGGAATCATCCAAGTACACAAATCTTCTTGATCTCAGTGAGAATATGTTGGTGTCTGAAATACTGGTTGACTGTTACTATCCTGTCATTTCTGGATGTGATCCTTTCCTCTGAGGTGGTATTTGACAGTCTTTAAGAGTAAGATGGACAGAGCCAGGATGTAGAATCACAGAGGAAAAGGAATTGTTTTTTGACAGTAAAATCTTTGGAGGTTAATAGTAAGGGCTAATAGACCCATTATTTCTGTAATTCTGGCTAAACAGGCTGTAGTGTTAGCCTCTGTCTTATGTCTTTTTGACCGAGCATCTTCAAGACGTGGTCCTAACCCCACTTTCTCACTGAAAGCTTTCCCTCCCAAGAAAGCTCCCTGTTATAGCCAGGTAATGGTGAGGGCAAGGAGAGAAGAAAACAGTCTGCAGAGGAAAACAAATTACCTGTGATAGCTGTCACTTACACAGCAGGAGTGTATAGGGCTGGTCCAGCTTCCTCTGTCAGCAGTGACTAGTGACACCAGAAACCAGCAACAGCAATCCTAGCAAAGACCACAGAAGGAAAGGCGATTGGAACACCAAGGAGAAGGATGCAGAAAGTGAAGAGGAAAAGGAAGCATAGGTGGGAGGGCTGCAGTGGGACTGACCCTTTTTGTCAGCCACAGATTTTGAGAGTCAGCATTGGGCCTGTTATGATCCCACTAAACTGTAGGGGGTAGTCCAGGCCTAAAATTGAATTCAAAGAGGAAAGGAGCATAGCTCCAGATCTGAGAGTGGTGCCTCTAAAACGTCAGGAAGGCCTAATGCCACATTAGTCATGGAAAAATAACGGTATAGAATGAAGTCTGGATTGTTTTGGTGTTTTATTTATTTTTCTTCTTCTGAATAATTGTATAATTGTTGTGCCATTCACAACAGAAGTGCTGAACAGTCTTCTGAGACATGAAGTAGATGCTGGGTAGCTCAAGATTAGTGCTGCCTTTAAAGCATTTTCATTTTGGGGACCCCAGCATGTCACGGCACAGATCTGTACAGATTTTGTCTGCCTGGACTTCTAAATAGTGGCCTGGTTTTTTTCAATGTCTCACAGACTGTTAGGCGTAATCTGGACTCTCATGAGTCTGCAGACCAGAGGAAAGCCATTGAATATTTTAAAAGCTGACAGTTTTATTTATTTTCTGGCTGGTGCCATGGTTCAGGGGTGCTCTTAACTGTTAAACTGAAATGGGGGTTTCAGGCACCTCACCAGTCTTAACACACTTGCCTGAGGTTGGAAGGTTTGGGGGATTTTATGCAGTTGTGGGAGAGGTGTAAGTGCTTCCCAAGGGCATTTCAGCACACTTGTCCCTTCTGCTACTCCAGCTGTGAAGCCTCTCCTCTGCACTCTCCTGCTGACTTACAAGAATTACTTGAAAGTGCTGTAAACTCCCCTGTTCCTTTGCCAAAGTTCAGTTGTGCTGTGCATCACAAGCATGTGCATGGAGTGGGGATTCTGCTTCTAAGTGAGCTCTTCTGAGCCCCGGATAAAAAATAGCCGTGGCTTCCTTTGTTTCCACAGTCATCTTGGTTGACACAGTCTCCTACTGTTTATACAGGTCCGGTGATAAAAGCTGAAGTTGGAGATACCATCGTGGTGACATTTGTTAACAAAGCCTCCTGGCCCTTCAGCATCCATCCTCATGGAGTGTCTTACAGGAAGGAGTGGGAAGGAATGCGCTACCATGATGGTTTGTGGCTTGTTTTTATTGAGTAATTAAGTTCTAATCCAGGTGGTGGAGCTGCATGGTCTATATTGCCTCTGCAGGGAGGGGAGGTTTGAATGAGCTCATAAATCTGCTGGAAGTCTGTCCGGTGCTCTAAGCCTGACTGAGTCGTCAGTAGAGCAGAGCTTCTGCTGAACTGGTGTCTAAGGAAGGGTAGCAGGAGGACTAGAGTGCCAGAAGTGCTGCTGTTCTGCATGAAAATTATAACCCAAAGCTCAAACTATTTCCAATTATTTGAGACTTGTGATTGAATTAACATGGGCACTGTACTCCAGCTTAAATAACCACATTCTTCCAACAGTCATCTTGCTGCGTGTAGCTGTACCCAGTTTACTTCCTACACCTATCTCTGCTATGACACCGAAAACGACTCTACAAAATATCAAGAACAGCTGTATCTGAACACATTGTAAAAACTACTATACTTTCCTCAGATGTCTATTTCTTAGAGATATAAAGTAAAGCCAGTGTGAGTGTAAATGATGAGAAGATGTAGCAAAGCTTGTAAATGAGTCTCAGGAATAATTCCGCCGATCTCTGTTTCAAAGGTGTGTCACAGAATGGGTTTTCTGTTCAGCCTCTGCATAACTTTACATACCAGTGGACAGTACCGCAGCATGTAGGGCCCATGCCTAGCGACCCTCCCTGCCTCACCTGGATGTACAGCTCTGCTGTGAATCCTGTCAGAGACCCCAGTTCAGGCTTGGTGGGCCCTCTGGTGATCTGCAAGCCTGGGACTCTGGATGAAAACAACAAGCAGGTAAAACTGATATTCCTGGCACATTCCTATCTGCCTCTTCTAGCGGCATGAAGCATCAGCAGAGCCTTAGGAAATAAAACGTTAATAAACAAATGCAAAGGTATGAGGTGAAGAGTTAAATCCAAGTCATAGGTGAGTTATAGCTGCTTCTTACATCAGGACAGCTCTGTGCCCTGGGTTTTTGCAGGAAAGGCTGGCACGTTGAACTCCCAGGAGTTCTAATAAACTGACTTCTAGATTTGACGTTAAATCTCGGAGACAATTTCAGTTGAATGCATATGCCTTGGATGTGACTTCATAGGTCGCTGTTGTCCTGAGACATGGGTAGCAGACTGCCCTGTCTTGCACACCAAAATGTTATTCATTTATTTACAGACGAAAATCTGCATGGTTTGCTTGAATGTTGGGATGCATTAGGGTTGGGTGAGTCTCCTGCAAAATCAGCTCATTTTCAAGGAAAGCTCATTACAGAAAAAGCATGCAAAAATCCATTTCATTCTGTATGCTTTTGATGAAAGAGCTGAAATTTGAAAGGTGACTAGAACTGCCTCTGGGAATTTTGTGACGGGATATTCTTCTCTTTCATCTCAGGCAGTAAAATTAAACTGTTGTGTAAATGAAGGACAGATTAACAGGGCGTTCTTGTCAGAGGAGAGTTGATGACAGATGATCAGCCTATCTACCTTGCAGTCTAAAATGGGTTGTCACTGGAAGATCTGGAAGCAGCTTCTATTAGAGCCTCCCTAGAGGAGCTTCTCTTTCTCCATTTTCATTGGTGAAGTGATGTGCCTAAACTGGGAGTTGAGATCAACAAGTCCAATGGGATATAAAGGTGAATCTTCTGAGCGGAGAGGGCTGTGAGCCTATAAAGCCTGCCGCATGAGGGAGATGTGAACTCTTACAGATGTTGAAAGTCTAACCAAAACAGGCTTGTCTGGAAAGGCAGAACAGGGAGAAATCACCTAAACTACTTAATTTGGAAGGGAACAGAGCTACTTGTCATACAACCATATTCTGCAGACTGGAAAATGCTTTTCAGCCCCCTCTGAGTATAAGGAAGCTCTTATGAAAATGAGAAACTGGACAATATTGAAGGGTTTTTTTTTTAACGGAGGAAATACACAGTGCTTTGGAATGCATTTCTTAAATCCCTGAAAACGTTACTGCTCTTGTAAATTAAAAAAAAAAATCAAGACTGCTGTAGGAGAGGAACAAAGCAGTCACTGAGCTGCCTTGTAGGCAGAGCTCTGATCTGAGTTCTGTTCTGGACAGGTAGTGAAACCTGGCACCTTAGAACTTGACTGAATATTGGTTCCTTATGTGGAACATCAGGGCACATCTGCAGTGGTGCTCCTGGGGAGTAGAAAGGGTGATGCATCCTGAGCAGAGGGACAGACCCTTGGCCTCGCAAGGGCTGGTTAAAGGAAAAAGGGGAAAATAAGAGCCAGACAACACAGCTTGAGCTGTAAGGCTGATGGTTAATTGGTGTGTTTTAAAAATTAACAGCCATCATTGTGATTATATCTTAGAAAGGGATCGACAAAGAATTTTACCTTCTCTTCAGTGTGTTTGATGAGAATCTCAGCTGGTATTTAAATGCAAACATTAAATACTATTTGAGGATGGAAGAGACTTCAGTGAAAAAGGATAATGGCTTCGAGGAATCGAACAGGATGCATGGTATGGCATGATGCTGTCCTGCAGGCAGCAGGAGTAAAACTGCAAGACATGGGTTGGTGTCCACCTAATCTGGGCTGGGAAACTGGAGTGGTGATGTGTTGTGCTGGCCTGAAAAAAGTGAGTATAAAGGCAGAGAGTGGGACATGGGACATGATGCAGAGCTGCCTCAGGATGTGCACCCTGAGTGTATTTGGGATGAGCTACAAGGGAGATGCACTTTCACAGACAGGCCTCAGCTTTCAAGGTGTGTGTAGAGAATGAAGGCTCTGACTGATGTCTGACAGTTAACTATTCTCACCTTTGCAGCCATCAATGGGTTTATGTTTGGTAACTTGCCTGGGCTGGATGTGTGTGAAGGAGACAAAGTGTCCTGGCACCTACTGGGCTTGGGTACGGAAGCGGATGTGCATGGAGCTGTGTTTCGGGGCAACACCCTGCAGATGAATGGGATGCGAAGGGATTCCACCAACCTGTTCCCCCATACGTTTGCTACTGCCTTTATGCAACCTGATAACAAAGGTAATTACCTGCACATCTAATTTAGCACCAGGAAGAGGTTCAGGTTGAAATGTTTGCTCCTATGGCTGCTGTGTTTAGCACTGCGTGAACTGTTACAGTGAGTTGTGCTTTAGACCCCATTAGGCCCCATTTAGGAGGGCAGAGGTCCTGCCTTTTGAATCTCATTTAAGGGAGGAATAGAAAATAGTAGATCTCATCCCATATTGTCCCAAACTGGTTCTTAGGGCGGCCACATCCTGTAGTAGTGGTCCTAATGGACATTGTGACTCATAGAAACAGGCAAACACACATTTCAAAACAAAGTAGCACCAAGTTGTCAGGGCTTAGTGTTCTCGTCCGTGCCTTGAGGAGATGAACACGTACATCAGATCCTGGCCTTCCTGATGGGAGGGTTAGACGTGCAACACCATGCCCCCTACAAAGGGTGCTGAGCGTGTTGGCAACCCTCTCCTTTCCCCGATGTTTGTAGGCTTGATCTTTTGCTTAACCAGCATCTCAGCAGTGGTAACACAGTTGTCCCCTAGCAGGTTCCTTCATGCGTAATGAGCAGGTTATTGTGTGTATAAGGAAACCTCCTGAGATGATTCCTGTCTAGAATTTAGTGCTTTTTTTTGTTTGGTTTCTCTAAAAACTCTTTTGAATCTCAGCTTCTGGCAGCTAACCTCCCTAAGCAAATGCATAGATGTGTACAACACACAAAGTTTGTGTCTGTGTCATGGCATGGCTCTTGAGCTTTGTGTGAGAAGCAGCTTGTTTTCTGGGATCTTCAAAATTTTCTAATTTCCTTGTCTGTGCTTCCTCCTCCCTCAGGGATTTTTGAGATCTACTGTCAAACAAGCAATCACTTCCATGCTGGGATGAGGGAGCACTACTCGGTTTCTAAGTGCGGCCAGAGGGACGCCGCTCCTGCACGCCGCTACGAAGGGGTGCGGACCTACTACGTGATGGCTGAGGAGGTGGAGTGGGACTACGCGCCCGAGCGGCGCTGGGAGCGCGAGCGGCACAACGGCTCCGCGCAGAGGTAGAGCCCCGGCACCGCTCCGCGCCGCCGCTGAGGCTCCCCAGGGCTTCTGGCCCTCTCGTCTCGGGGTGCTTACGCTGCGGCTGGAGGTGCTGAAGGGGGTTACAGCCCCCTACGTCTCCCTGCCCCTCTTTTCAGCCAAAATAAGGGAGCCCTTTCAGCCCCCGGGAGGTGAAGCTCGTTCAGTTAATGAGCCCCCTAATACGGGCTAGCTGTTTATGCCCTGTAAGCATTAGGCTAACACAGCAATTCTCTCTGCATTTTTCAGCTATTCCAATGTATTTTTGAGCAATGAAAATGGACTGCTTGGTTCCAAGTATAAGAAAGCAGTTTATAGGGAATATACTGATGGGACATTCCAGACCCCGAAGGCCAGGATAAATGGTGATGAACATCTAGGAATCCTGGGTAAGGAATTCTGCAGAGGGTACATTTCCCATTTGTTTGTGCAGGGCTGGGTCTTAGACTGTGAGCTGTGATCTGATGCTTCCCCCAGATACTCAAGTAGATGCTGTCTTCTCTGCAGGTCTGGAGAAAAATCAGTAGAGTTCTGAATACAGCCTGCAGCAGAACAGGCTGGATTCTCATGCCTGCCTTTGCTGCTGGCTGTCTTTGATATCACAGTCAGACTGTTTTTGTACACCTGCATATTTCAAAGTCTAGAACAAAAATAACAGTTAAAACTTTTGGAAAGCTGTTTGAGAGATACAGCTGAAAATTTAGCTGTGAAAGAAATACTTTTGATGCAAAAGTAGTTTTGAGAAATAGAGGAGTGCTTTAGAATGCTGAATGGGATATGAATCCGGGACAAGTGGTGCCAGGCCAGCAAGGTGAGGTAATGTATTTCATTTAAAATAACAGTTTGTGGCTCTGATTTTTAACACTTTCAAGCCGCACTGAGTAATACGAAATTATCTGAAGCCAGCAGTGGGTGATGGTAAAGATGAATATACATTTAACATAGCGGTATTCAGATATCAAGCCTTAGTTACACTGGGCACAGTGAAAATATGCAGCGGACTTGACTTCTGCCTTGAGACAGGCAGTCTGGTTTTCTAAGACTTGATTTGGGACCAACCTCTGATTCTCTTTTTGTGGGGCAAAGATGCGGTAAAGAATGAAAGGGTTGTCCTAAGTGTTATTAAAGGAAAAATACCTGCGAAGGGGAAGATGGTGATAGGTGCAAACATCCTTTGGAGACATGTTGATAATGCTTGCTAATGTTAAATATGTTCTTTCTGTCTCAAGGCCCTTTTATGTGGGCAGAAGTAGGAGATATTCTCAATATTGTGTTCAAGAACAATGCAACACGACCCTACTCCATCCATGCACATGGAGTACTGGAAAAGGAGACAGGACAGCCACAAGCAGCAAACCCTGGTAACTCACTGTGTTCTCCAATTCTATTTCAATACAGATATATGAAGCTTACTTTAGCCTACAGTTAGGCTTGTTTGTCTAAATAGGCTTGTTTTCTTGCAGTACAGACTTGGAACTGAATAGGAACAGCTTTTGACTTCACTATGGTTTTCTTAATTATCATTTGTGTGTTGGTAGTGGTCTGGAGGATTTAATGTTCTCTGACCTCTGGGATCGGCATAGCGCAGATCTCCCTGTGCAGCCTTCTCCTGCACAGTGTGCCTGGCCTGCCTGCGCAGGACACGTGGTGACTGTTCAGAGCTCTTCTCCCTGGCCCTGTGACGGGCGACGGCCGCCCCAGGGACACAGAAAGCTGCTTGCCAGGACCCGGCCTGAGCTTGGCCAGTTGTTTCACTGTCCAGCTGCCAGTCCTGGCAATGTTTGCTCCCTTGTGCATTCTTCAGGACAGGCTCTGTCTGCAAAACAGCCAGCCTTTCAGTTGGGTCTTGCCTTACTAAGAAGTATTGCTAATACCTAAAACAATAATTTTAAAAGGAAATTGGAATGAGCATCATAAATTTACCACTAAGAGTTCACAGATTATCTCAAGCTCCATCTATAATGAAGATAGATGGAATTTCTTTTGTCAGGGGTAGTCTTGAAAGTAGCAGATAAAACAGTTGTGCTGATACCAGTAGTGTGTGCATCCTGTGACCTGGGCCCCCCTACACTCCTATTTGCTTGTGAGAGGGAAGTCACTGTTCTGCTTTTCAGTATCAGTGGGGAAAAAACGTGTAGTGCCTGACAAAGCCAGAACTGTATTTGTGGTTTGGAGTCAGAAGCATCATTTTGACCTGCTTTTGAGTAGTGCTCAGCAAACTGAGGACTTGCTTCATCACACAAGAGCTAATGATGCTTTTCTGCTGTTCAGGTGACATTGTGACATACAGATGGGAAGTTCCTGAGAGATCCGGTCCAGGGCCGAATGATTCAGCCTGTATCCCTTGGATCTACTACTCCATGGTGGACCCCATAAAGGTAAAATCTACTTGGAATCTTAGATGTTAGAACCAGAAAAGCCCAGTTAAACTAATTATATATGTGTGTGTGTATGTATTTGTGTATTTTTCCCTAACACTGTATAAAACAATGAGCTTGGTCCAGGTGAGAGGAAGAGGAACAATCTGACATATGCAGCATTCTCTTCAGAGAGGGAATCTTCCAAATTCATCCTGATGCTTATCCCTTTTCTTTCTAAATGCACGTGCTTGTAAAGCAGTTCCACTGCTCCCTTGACAATAAGCTTTTTTCAGTTATTTTTAGGATATGAGCATGATTCCTAGTGAATCAAAGTTTCTATTAGTTGGAGTAAAATCATTGTCTCAGAGTTTCTCCTCATTCATTCCTATTAGGATATGTACAGTGGTCTGATTGGACCCCTGAAGATCTGCCGGAAAGGTGTGCTGCAATCCAATGGGATTAGGAAGGATGTAAAGAGGGAGTTTGCCCTACTGTTCTTGGTGTTTGATGAGAATCAGTCCTGGTACTTGGAGGAGAACGTGGAACGTTATGCTCATAGGAATCGCAGAGAAATCGACCTGCTGGATGACATATTTGTGGAAAGCAACAAAATGCATGGTAATGCCTATTGGGTACCTTGACACTCATTACAATCTATGCAAAGTTGATGTTCATTCTGTGACCTCCTTTAATTGTCAGAAGTCCAAAAGCCAGGAACCTTATACTCTGTGAATGCCCTCACCCTTTCCCTTCACCAGTGGCACAAACAGAATTAATATCTTGTTCTCAGCCCTGTAGCACACATAGGACACAAGTCTTAGATCTGCAAGGAAGGCTGATCATTATCATTATCCCAACATGCAGTGATTTTTTTTTTTTTTTTTTTTAAACAAATGATCCGTGTGTAAAGCATGGAGCCAGCATGAGACATAGAATGCCAGGGTTGCCTGTTGGCTGGATTTACCTGTTTTCCTTGCTTAGTAAGTAAATATATATTCAAAGGTTGTGTGCATGCGCATATGTGCACAAACATATGCGCTTTGCTTTCGATCAGGAAGACATTTACCCTTCCTGACTTCTAGAAGCAACTGTCTCCACTGGCTGGTTTCATGGTTTCAGAAAGAACTAAAGCCTGAGCTTTCTCTGAGCTAAGCTGCAGTGTGGCCCTGGACAGAGGTCACCCTGCCTATCTGTTAGCCCCACTGGGGCTCAGATAAGTAACTGCGCTGGAGACATTGCCAGCTCTTCTTGGGGATTCATATGGAAGAAGCTAAATGCTGATGCCTTGGCTTTTAAATGAGCTTTCAGACCTCTAACTTGCCATGCATGTTCTGCTGAGACAGTGCAGCATCTTTGCCACTTCAATAACAGCCATTTCTACTTCCCCATTGCTATTTACTGCTCAGCAATCAATGGGCGGCTCTATGCAAACTTGCCTGGACTGACCATGTTCGAAGGAGAGTGGGTGAACTGGTACCTGCTGGGAATGGGTCAAGAGATTGATGTGCACACAGTCCATTTTCATGCTGAGACCTTCACATACAAGGTAAGAATATTCTGCTGTTCGTAAAGCAGAGACTGACCACAGGTATTATCACTTTTGCTTGACTGGCTCGGAACTCCTTGCATGAATTCACAGCAATCATCTAATTTCTCTAATCAGGGAAGAGACGTGACTTTACGCAGTGCTGATGCATGTAGCTAACCCTTGGGATTAGGCATTACTAGATTATATTAGCTTTCCTAGCTACAGGCCTGGAATTGCTTTTGGAAATCTTTTGCAGAGCTTCTGTAAACTCTACAAAGTACTCTAAGTGGTAGAGGTCCCTAGTGACACTAAGAGATCTTCACTTCTCTAGACTGTTTTTCAAAAGAAATGCATATTTCCAAAGTGCTGCATGCTAACAGCCTCTCTCCCTTTGACAGAATGGCAAAAGCTACAGAGCAGATGTTGTGGATCTGTTCCCTGGGACCTTTGAAATGGTGGAGATGTTGCCTGGGAATCCTGGCACATGGCTGCTTCATTGTCATGTATCTGATCATATTCATGCTGGCATGGAGATACTCTTCAATGTCTTGCCCAAACCAGGTAGGGAGCAAGTGCCAATTGTTACCATAAATGTCTAACAACGCTTCTTACTATTACTGCTAAATTCTGAGTGTTTACATCACACTTGCAAGTCCTTTACCTACTATAAATAGGCAGGTAAATTACTAGTACTTAAGATGTTTCCCTTTGAAAGTTGTAGTAGCCGCAGCTGGAGTTGATTGCAATTTGGTTTCAGGAGTTTCCATTGCCTGTGGTATTATGAGGTTTACTTTAGCTTGTGCAGGGGAAGCACTATTCAGCTGTCAGGTAGTAGTTGTCCTTACCAAAATGTTACCTGTGATCTAAATGTACATCCTAAAGCTTCTAACTTCACCAGGAAATGCTAGAAGGTGCTCAAAGGTTTTGACCATGCTTTTCTTTCAAAGGCTGTAGAGTTGTGCGATGGGAGTAGGTCTGCTCTTGAGGTAGGTAATTCAAAAGCCTTCTTGATTTAATGTGGGAGAATGAAAACTTCTACAAGAGAAAATAAAGCTACAGGCACTGGAAGACCATTCTGTCCAGATCTGAACTTTGCCAAAAGCACTGTGTCCTGGGCTCTCCCTCTTCAGTTCAACACTTTGTCACCCACTTGTTGTTTCCTTTCAGAACCAGCACCTGAAGTTGTGAGCGACAATAAAGGTATGGTACGCGTGGCCCTGCTGAACAGTGTGTGTGTGTGTGTGTGTGTGTGTGTGTGTCCCTGTGTGTGGACATTACCCCATCTCCTGTCACTGGCCATCACTGAGAAGAACTTGGCCCCTTCCTCCCTGTATTCCCCCTTCATGTACTTATGCATATTAATCAGATCCCATATTAATCAGATTTTCAGACACCCAATTACTATCTAAAGGGCTGTGTCAAGCATCTCCCTGGTCTATATTGCCTGAATATGTGTTGGGGGCCTTAATGTTGTTTAAAGAACAGATGTGAGAATATTTGATTCAGCAGGATGAGGGAGGAGTAGTAGGTAAGACGCTTCTAAAATATCATGAGAATGGAAGTTTAAATAGTGTGTGGTGCTGACTCTTCCTGATTTTTCATCTCTAGATTTTTGTTTTATTCTGCTATGAATAGATTAATCTGGGCTGATTTCAGAGACAGCTTAGGCTGAAAATAGACATCTATCTACAACTCTTCTGGTTGTGTATTTATTTTTTTCACAATGATGTTTTCCTTGGTCAAAAAAAGGAGCATTAAGGAAGATTAGGGAATGTGTTAGAGCAGCAGTGACAATATGAAGTAATTCAAAATTAAGTAATTTTTACACCAGACTCAAGGATCAAGTGTTCACCAGGCAAAAGATGATTGATAGTTGTTATCCATGCAAATAGCCCCTCTTATCAAAAGGATTCTGCTGTCTTGCTCTGGAAGCATAATAGTATCTCATGATAGATGTGACTGAGCAAGTACACTTTGAAAAATTATGTGGCAGGACAACACATGCAGGATGTGCTTGGAAGCAAGTGGGGAACTTGCAGTGGCTCCAGTCCTGGCACGTGTTCTCATCTCAGTTCTTCTGTTTCTAGCTCAGCTCTTTATTCCCCAGCTATCCTGAGTGACAAAGGATTGAGGTTAGCAGTGATTAGCTGATAGGACTGAATAGCTGTGAGATGTAGTGAGACACAGTTAAGTTGTGGAATGGAGAAGGGGAAGAACCATTTATTCTTCCAATTCTTGTATGACCTGAAGGAAGGTGTCTACTGAATGAACAGCAATTGGGTCTGCTTTGATTTGCTTTGGGTCTGTCTTTTACCTCTTCATATTAATCAGACCTTTTCACTTGTGGTGTTTCTAGCTCTCATTGGCTCTGTATTTTTGTTTGCTCTCAGAGACACCACCTGAGGATGAGTCCCAGAAGGTGATGCTATTCGGAGCTAAGTTGGCTCCAGGGCATGTAGAAGCCACAGTCATCATTCTAGCTGTTGCAGGAATAGTGCTCTTCCTGGTTGCCAGTCTCCTCCTGGGAATGGTTATCCATCTCGAGAAGCAAAGGAGGTTAAGGCGCAATAGGAGGTCCATTCTGGATGATGGATTCAAACTCATGTCTAAAAAGAATCATGGGATATAAGACCCATGTACAGATTTTGGACCGTGTACGTGGAGCAGAAGCTGGATCGCTGTCCACACCAAGATGTTGCAGCATCATTTCTGTTCCACACTAGACTTCTGGAAAGCTAAAGAAGAAAGCTGGAGTTCTTTGTATATCTTTAAGAACTCAATAAAGAAAAAGACCCTTCAGGAGAAATCTGAGGATCAACTGAAGAAAAGTAACTTTTCTTTAGGAAAGATTACTGTAAGGCATTCCTTTGTCCCAAGAAAGTGCAGAGATGTTTTCTGCTTTCTCCAAAAGACTCTACTTGATTGTTTTTGGTAAAAAGAACTTTCAATCCAGATTCCAGTCTTGCTCTGCTGTCAGAACTGGTTTGGGGACTCTCTCCCTGCAGATCTGTAGAACTGTGAAACTTTAAACACTGTGAAGGAGGAAAATAATATTTGCTTTTGTGTGAATCAAATGAGAATACAGAAGAGGAAATATTAATTTAGACTTAGATCACTGCTGTGTGTTTGTCATTGTTTTTGTGTTTTTTTTTTCCCCCCAAATAACTGGTTGGATATAAACTCATGGCAGTCACATGTCACAGTGCCTGAGAACTTCGTCAAGAGCCATGACAAGAGCTGTGCTTCACCCTCACACTTGCCTGGGTCCATTCACCTACCCCGGGGAATATGTTTTGGTGTCAGGCATCCTGTGCCTTTCACTGTGAAGTGAGGCTTTTGCATCACTGGTGCTGCAGTATCTCCCTGCCATTAAGTTCTGTCCTTTTAGCATAATGTGTTGCTCCTATAAGCATCTCAACAATCCCTTTTGTCATAGGAGGAAGGATGGAAGGATGCTCTGATGTTTTGTGATGTGATTTGCCTTTTTTTTTTTTTCTTCTCTTCCCCCCCAATATATTTTTCTGAAGTTACCTCCAGCGTTCGGCTGTTTCCAAGTTATTGCTGTGAACGAGGCCAAGGGCTCAGGTATGTGTGAGGTGGGTTTGTGGTTGGAGCAGAAGGACACGGAGCTCTTCCTCCCCTCATGGCACAACTGCAGTTTACCCCTGGCAAATCTGGCATCTGAGGAGGAGAGAAAGCTGGAGCGCCAGTGTGATTAATGGTGTAGAGCAGGCTTGCCTGCAGTCACTGAGGCGCAGGGTAGTGCAGGCCTGAGATGAGGGAATTCCTGCAGCGAGGAGGGAATGTAAAGGGGGCTCGGGCCTTTCAGCCACCATAAAATTAAAAGCATCGAAGAGGAGAGGAGAGGGCTGCCTTAAACGGACGGTCCCCGGGCACCGCTGTGGCCAGCTCCTCCTGCTGTCCCCGCGGGGAAGGAGCGGCGCTGGTGCTGGGTGCGAGCCGGGGATTGCCGCTCTCCCCGGCCTCCCGAGGGGCAAGGTGCCGGGGCGGCGTGGAGCAGCCTCCCCGCGGGCTCCTGGGCTCGGTGCCCGCGGCCCCTCTGCTGCACGTTCCGCCCGCGGCCACTCACCATGGCGGCGCCTTCCGCGCCCTTCGCGCTCCCCGCGCCACGAAATGGCTGCCGGCCCCTGTCCGCAGTCCGGCGGGTTGGGGCCTTGGGGCCTCAGCCTCTCATTTTAAATTGAAAGGGCGGAAAAGAAATCCTTAATGTGTGGCTTTCAAAGGCAATTAAAGCAGAGCCAGCTAAATGGCCCTAATGACAGGGGAGTGCTGTAGGCTGTTTCCATATATCAGCGCTGTTTTATTCGCAGCACTAGTTATAACATACTTAATCATGTTCAATTCATACTGGGCCCCTGTATATTTCCAGCTGCCTTTTCCTTTGGCAGTAGGGAGAAAGCTCATTAGTTTCCTTTCATTAGGCCTCATTAAGCCTGGCGAGGAGCTGGAGGGCTGTTGAATGCTCTGAACGTGGGGCTCATTGTCAACCCTGGTTCAGCTGCTGCCGCCAACCAGACACGAAGCTCTACAGCTCCGGGTGAAACTAGGAGCTGTGGCGTCCAAGCTAAAAACAGGGCGGAAACTGTGTTCATTTTACTGTTGTTGTTGCGTGCTCTTTCTCCCCAAGTTTGGCGGGCAGGGATCAAACATACATTTTTCAGCTGATACTGAGGGAGGTGTTTCAAATGTGTTCTTCAAGAAACAAGAAAACTCATCCTGTTTCAGCTCCTCACTGGTATGCTAAGTTGGAATACTGCAAACCGTTTTTTTGCTATTGAATCAATACTAGGAAAACATCAGGACTAAACGGGATCTCTTCAATTTGTACAAGGCCTTTAAAGAGCAGGCTCTCAAAATTCTTCCAGTGCAACATTGCTTGGGCCAGGTGCGACATGAGCCAGAGGTGGCCTCTCCAGCTTTGGTGGTTGGGCTGCTCCTGGATCCCCAGCCTGGAGGAGAGCTCAGCTGCGTGGCTAGTTGGAGAGGACCGTGTCCTCTGCAGAATTGCACCACAGACTGAGAAAACTCTGTGGAAACCTCAAACAGAACCAGTCATTTCACTGTACTCTGTTGCAAAAAAAACATAGCAGAGGACAGTTTAGCAACCTTCACAACCCGACCTTATCAGAAGGTGGCTATGCCAGCAAGTGAGGGTATGTGCAAGAGGTGTTCTGCAGTTCTGTAACAGAGCTGAAGCCTGCTTGCTTTGGCAGCAAGTCTGCTATGTGAGCCTCCCCAGGAGCTTGTCAGTGCTTATCCCTGATGCATGCAAGGAGCCACCTGGAGAAGGAAAACAGCAGGCATGAGCAGAGTCTGCACGCTGCTGTTTAGCAGGTACACATGGATGGTATTCTGCCTTCCTTCTGCTCCTGCACAGGTGGGGCTCAATCTGGCAGTTTCTCAGCTCTCGTAAAAGTGACATGAGAGAGGGGTGTGCTCTGTCCGAACCTTTCCAGCCTTCTGTTACCATGTGGACCATGTGTTGGTGTCTGAATAAAGCGTCCTGGGTGAGAACAGTGGTTAAACCCAAAGCCGGACGTCCTGTGATCTGCAGTTGTGATTCCTCAAGAAGCATAGCAGAGGCTTAAGGTGAGCCGTGCTGAGCTGAGGCCGTAGCCTATGTAAGTTTTCCCCCTGACTTTGCTGTTGTAAAATAAACTAGCTTAGCTCAAACTGTTCTGCAATGATTTAAAGTAACATACACTGAGGAGGATTAGAAGGGCTTGCATAGTCTATTGGTATGGCTCAGCACATGGGGACAGAGGGAGACAAATACAGGCGTCTATGCTTTTTGATTTTCAGATGCTATAGATGCCAGGAAATATCCTGGTAGAGTAGGATGGACTTTCTGAGTTTAACTTTGGAGACAGGTTCATCATAAAAATAAAGCTGTTCAAGTTTTGCATGAGATAAACATGAGAAGCTTATATTTCCTATTCATTTAAGGTTGTGTTCTTTGTCTTCAGTTTAAATATTATGATTCTTAGTCTCCAGTTAAATTTGATAAACTTTCTAAACGTTTACCTAGATGACTACTTGCCTATTTAAAGCTACCCACTGTTTTCCAGGATGTTTTAGATGGCGACTAAAACCTATTATTCATTTACATGGCAGCAGCTGGATGTTTGCGGCAGGATGAAGTGAAAAGCCCTTTATTAGTGCTGTGCAGTTGCTCAGTAATGGGCATTATTAACATGACATTACTTCATCTGGCAGACAATTGCTTCCCATTTCCCTGCGAGTGCCAGTGTTCTCAGCTGACGGCTTTTTGTATACCCACTAATGGCACAAATGTGAAAAATAAGTAAGTAGGGTGCTTTCTAGATTCGCACGTGGAAATACAGAATGCTGTCTTGATTTCTGCACAGCCTTCCCCTCAACTCAAAAGTTAATGCCAGGTTAACCTGAGGCACACCATAAAAGACCAACACTAGTAATTGTCAGAAAAGGAATTTTAATGCGTTTCAGGTGTAATGGCTTTGCTTCTGAATTGAATAATGTGTGTCTTAGTATGTAGCTTGCTTTGTGAGGAATAATCACTATGTGGACTGTTTGCAATGGTTATAATTGTGTTGGCACAGCAAATTACAGCAGAGGTCCTGAGCCATGTGCATGTGTATTGCCTGAGGAAAGAAATTCAAGCACAATAGCTGCCAAAACAAGACAATCTTCGAGATTACAATCAGAGGTTGGAACTGAACAAAAGTAAAAGTTGGTTCAGTTTATTCCCTGTCAAGCTTTCATTTGCCAGCAGAGAATTTTATGAAATGCCCTTGAAATTGTATTTCCTGGATGTGTTGTGGTCAGATTGTGTTACCGTTCTAATTCTTAAAGCTGTCCCAATCTTCTGCTCTTCAATGGCAAAATCAAGAAGTGGATCCTGCCCATGCAGATGGAGAGAATGAAGAGAATTTTAAAATGACAGTGCACTAGAAATAAGTGAGAGCACGACTGACTCCAAGGAAGCAGAACTGGAAAAAGATGAAATTCATTGGCAAGGGAAGATGACAAAAGGAATTGCTGATTAAAGAGTGGCAATAGAAGCAACTGCTCATCAAGATCATTGCAACACTGTAGTTAGATCATCTGAATTAGGAGCTGGGCCTGTTTTCTCTGGAGAAGAGGCGGCTCAGAGGGGATATGATTAATATGTATAAGTTCAGGAAGGGAGAATGCAGGGAGGAAGGGGACAGGCTGTTCTCACTGGTGGCCAGCGATAGGACGAGGGGTAATGGCCACAAACTGAAACACAAGAAGTTCCGTCTCCAGGTGAGGAGGAACTTCTTTACTGTTAGGGTGACAGAGCAGTGGAACAGGCTGCCCAGGGAGGTTGTGGAGTCTCCTTCTCTGGAGGTCTTCAAAACCCGCCTGGATGCCACCCTGTGCCACATGCTCTAGGTGTGCCTGCTTGAGCAGGAAGGTTGGACTAGATGATCTGTAGAGGTCCCTTCCAACCTTAAATAAATATTCTGAAATATTCTGACAGTAGCTCAGAAAATACCTTTCTTTGGCTTGCTGCCCCCTTGAGGTTTTCCAAGCTCTGCAATCATCGCTGGGAGCTGGGATCTGGCACAGGTCTGGAGGACTGCTAGAGATGAGGAAGGTTGTACCTCTGCAGAGGGATTGTCGCAGGATCGTGAGGGTTCCTGTCAGCCTGAACAGTTGAAGCAAATGCAGAGGCTTCAGGGTGCTGCCCTGGGTGCTGGGCTGTTGGCAGCTGTTTCACGAGCTCTTCGGGTTGTCTGTAAAGCCTTTCAGAAGTATACCATAGCCAAGGCTTGGTCTTTCCTTCCTCAAGCTGTTTTTGTTGATCCTAAATTGCTCTTAGCCTGTTTAAGGTTCCTACCTCGTAGTTAATGGAGAAGCTACCTTTGAAAGAACTTGGTAGAGTTTGGAAATAGGTTGTTAGGGGCAGCACGATGTCCAAATCGCACAGAAACGTTTGAGCTATTCTGTTGCTAGATAAAGTTCAAGAAGAAGGAAGATGAAGGGGAAAATAGGAGAAATACGTGTACATGAGATGCCAAGCTTTCCAAAGC